CCAACAAAAACATGCAGGGACATGCAATTCGGGGAGGCCTCTGGGGAACCCCACCCTGGACCAGGCCTCTCTCAAAGGGTTAGTGGGGTGAGGAGGCAACTGGGGGGGGGGGCCAATGCTGCACCCCACCCCTCAGCAGCCCAAGGCTTAGTCCACTGCTCTCCCTCTTCCTTATAGTGGGCTCGAAACCACCTCTGCCAGCACCCACCCCCCACTCCTCTCCTAAAGCTGGGGTGGGGGGTGGGGGCGTGGGAAACCTGTGTGCTCACCTTCTGGTCGACGATGGAGCAAGCCAGCTGCTTCACGTGGGCCAGCTCAGAGGCGGCGGGCAACAGCACGAACTCGCGGGTCAGCCCGATCTGGATGTGGAAGGAGACCCCCGAGCCCGGGGCCGGGACCTGGGGCAGCAGCGGTGGCGGCGACTGCAGTTCCAAGCCGCTGGAGGGCGAAGGTGACCCCGGCCCGGGAGAGCCCGGGAGCCCGGCGGGATGCGAGGGGGCGGCGGCCATAGGGGAGGCCCGGGGTCGGCCGCCCGGCGCCCACCCCGGGATCCGGCTGGAGAAGCCTGAGCAGGGAGGCTTGGGTCACTGTAAACCGGGGATCCAAGAAGAGAACACTGCCTGGCAGGTTGAGGGAACTCGAGGATGGTGGGACCCTGGGAAGTTAGAGAAAAGGAATCTAGTGGATCAGATGCCCACCCGGGGAATTAAAGGATCACAGATTATCAGAAAGGAGAAATCTAGTGGTTTTGGGGAGGGGGGGGCCAGCAATTGGGAGATACCAAGAAATCAAAGAAGAAAATCTAGTAGGTCCGGGTCACAGCGATCAGAAAAGCCCAGGATCCAAAGGATCCGTGGAGAGAGAAGGGATTGGAAAGGGAGCAGGTGGAGTCGAGAAGTCAGTGGCTCTAGGAAGAGAATCCATTTAAGAAGGGGGCCAGAGGGATTCTCCAGACCTTGGGGGTGGAGAGCAGGAGCCTCTGAGTCGGGGATCGAATGGATCCCAGGGATCCGATGGCGGGCCCGGGGATGGGCAGAGGGATCCCGAGGGCCGGGGTGCTAAGAAGGGAATCTCACGGGTCTCGGAAGTTGGAGAAAAATTCGGTCGAGGCCCGCGGGGAAGGCGGTGTTACCATCGGCAGTGGGGTGGCGGGGGGTGGGAAGGAAGGGAAAGTCACCCAGCGAAGGGAGCCCGTGGCTCTTTTTCCCCCTCCAAAGTTTAACTCTGCGGCGGCAGCCCAGGAGGAAGTGTTCAGAGTGACAGTTCAGTCGGCCAATCGGCACCGACCTTGGTGACGTCAGAGAGGGTGGAACTTGTGGAGAGCCTGGGGGCGGAAGAGGAGGGCGGGCTCAGCGCGCCTCTAAGTTGGGGGTAACACCTCCCCCGCCCAGGCCTGGGAACCTGGGGTGGGAGATGCAGGACTGGGAGGAGAGACCGATTCCTCCCACCAACAAACCCTTGTCTGGAAAGTTGACTTTTCCCTCAGCTGGTGAGGGAGGAACAAGCCACCCTCTCCCCAACCACAGGTCGCGAGGCCGGGGTTGAGGAGGCGTCTGGCCCTTTAAGTAAGGGAGGCATCTCGCCTGGCCTGCATCCGGCGCCCACCGCAGGGGAAAGGGTGGGAGACAGTGTCAGGTCCGGCCCGCTCTCCGGAGTGAGCCTGCCTCTTCCCAGAGCGTCACCTCTCCTCCCCCGCGACACACCCCAGCCCATTCCACAGGTGGGAAGACCGAGGCCTCCAGATGGGCAGAGATCCTTGCCTTGGGTCTTGCTCCAACGACTTTGGCCAAAGTGCCACGAACAGACGGGAGTGTCAGGGCTGGTGCACGCTGTGCCGGTAGTCAGGCACAGGGCCGGTGGAGAAGGGGTGTAGTTTCCTTCCTCCTCTAGTCAGCTTCCCACTCTGCCCCAGTCTTTAGAAGGGTGAAGAGCCAAATAAAAGCCTAGGGGCGCCTGGAAGAACCATAGCAACCAGGGAGGACCACACATCCTCACCACCTCACAGACGGAAAGCACATTGTTTTCCGGGGCAAGTGTGCACGTGTCTCTCTCTGGGTAACTTTAGGTTGGTGACTTCTCCACTCTGAGGCTGTTTCTCTTATCTCTCAGATGGGACAATTGGCCTGACCCCAGAGGGTCTTTGTGGGGATTAATGAGACGGTGTAAGTGTTGCCTAAAACACAGTAGAAGCTCAGTCCTGCTGGCTGTGACTCTAATGTGCTGACACTCGGGTGCTGTGGGTGGGTTTGCTCAGTCATTCAGCAAGTATGAATTGAGGCTCTAGAATGTGCCAGGCCTGTCATAAAACATCCCTTCAAGGAGACATTTGGACTTGATTTCTCCTCCCCAGCTAATAATAAGGGTCGCTATCATTTAGTTTACATACAGGAAGCTGAACCCTCAGAGAGGCAGAGTGACTTGGCCAAGATCATCCAGCGGGTAACTACCACCCATGGGCTTCATCGAGAGGCCAAGGCCTGGCTGAGCCCCAGAAGCATCCAGGTTGAGATGGGCCACTGTATCTGGGCTCCCAACCAGCAGGACTGGGTGGGGGATGAGGACCTCAAAACGAGCCCCCTGCTCCTAAGAGGGCTGTTGGGGGGCAGCTGAGGTCGGTACAGTAGCGAATCTGCCACCACATCCGGGGGCTGGCTGGGGCTGGGGAAGGAAGTCTGAGGCTGGGGCGAAAACCTAAACCACCACCTGGGGAAGCAGCACGGAGCCTAGAGGGATTGGGGGGGGGGGGGCAGGGGATGAGGCCACACGGCGCCCGAAGCTGGGCTCCTGTCAGCCTCACCTGATGGCCTCTGTCCAGACAGGCGGGCGACTGCCACCGTGAAGTCCTAACAGGAGTGTGTACTTCTCAGGGTTTCATCCTTCAAGGGGACTTCACAGGCCTTCATCCTTCCTTAAGTGTTCACGGGGCCCTGACAGGAGGCAGACCCTGTTCTGGGCATTGGGGTGCAGCCCTTGATAAGCCAGGAGGTGGGCATTACTGTCTGGCTCTCTTTTCTGGGGATGCTGAGGTCCAGAGAGGTACCGGGATTGTCCCAAGGACTTCTGGCTGGTAGGGGTGGAGGCCTCCAAGCGAGCAGAGGGGGTCCCCAGGGACTGGATACAAATTCTGATGACCTGCTGGGCCCTGAACAACCTGCTTGGCTGCCTCGAGCCCTGGCCTCCATCTCTTATACTCTGTAACATGTGTCATGGTCTGTCCTCACTCTTTGAGGTTGTGAGAACCCAGCGCAATGGCACCTGAAGAGCTAAGCACAGGGTCTGGCTCCTGCTGAGTGAACAGCCAGCCACTGTGATTCGGCCACCTCGAGAAGGGAGAGGAATCCCAGCAGCGTGGAGGTGTTCTGAGCGGGCAGGCCCTACACTCCTCCATGCAGGCAGGGAGGGAAGGGGGATGTTTAGTACTCTGGGTCAGGCATGCAGGGGCGGGCGGGGATGAAGAGTCTTGAGCTGAACTGTCCCGTCTATCATTGGCCAGTCAGGGCTCCGCCCCCAGGCTGCTGCTGCAGCCCCTGGGGAGGGAGCGCTTAGGGACCGAAAGGAGGGCACGGGGAGATTCGGTCCTGTGCCCCCACTTCCGTCCCTCCACCCACACCCCGCCCAAGCTCTGCCCCCCCAACCCTACCACAAAACCCCAACCCATACTATCTCCTCTCTCCAAGCTCCACCCACCCGTGGCAGAGCTGGTGACTCCTCCCCGAAAGTCCCCAGTCCCCTCGACACTCAGTACTGCCACCACCCGTCTTACTCCAAAGGGTTTATTGAGACAAGTTTCACGTACAAGTCAGGGCAGAGGGGATGGGGCTTATAAACAGGAACCTGGGAGGGGGGCCTGGGGGCACAGGGTGGAACCCAAAACAGAGTGAAATAAATAGAGGAAGAGAGTGAAGGGTCAGGAGTGGAAACGGACAGACTATCACACAGTGATAACAACATGGGGGAAGGGGGCTCCATTAAAATCCCATTTATTTATACAGATATACAGGGAGTTACGGGGGGCCCAGGGGACCCCACTCCACCCTCCATGCCCTGCGGAGGGGCAAGAGAAGGCTATCTCTCCCCCCATGGGTGACCCCATGGGGGTTTGGGGGGCTGCCCTTGGAGAAGTGTTGGGGGAGGTAGGGTCGGGCGCTCCCCCGAGGGCATCACCTGCTCCCCAGGCAGTTACTGGCCCTGGCGGCGCTGGGTAGTGTCTGGAAAGCTGTGCTGAGGGAACTGGAGGGGAGGGGGATTACTGGGCACGCTGGTGGCGGGGGGGAGAGGCCCCCGCAGGGAGAACGATCTGGCCTGCAGCTGGCTCCAGGGCCCCAGCAGACCCAGAGCAGGGGAGCAGGGGCGCAGGGGGGCCTCCCGCGTGGCTCCCACCTGGGGCCAGGGAGGTGGAGAGGAGTGGTCAGGGGTTCCAAAAGAGAACCCGGCACCTTCTGGCATCTTGGAAAAGTTGAGCCCCATGGACACCCAGCCCTGGATGTGCGGCTCCCGAGAAGGAGGCTCAGAGACCTGGCGTGGGTGTCAGGGTGAAGGGAAAACTCCCAGAGACCATGCTGGAGGGCGATTCCTGAAGGAGGCCGCGCCCGGCGGGAGGCCATGGGAAGGGCCTCCTGGGGAGAGGGCCCATAGCACCACCAGGCCCCAAGGCAGGCAGGAGGCAGCCAGGCCTCGGGGCCTCCAGACCAAGGCCGGGAGTCACCTGTGGGAGACAGAGGGGAGGGGAGGCTGGACCATGATCTCCAGGGTGCCAGAGGTCAGGCAGCTCCGGCCCCTCCTCTGAACGCCTGGGGGCGACCCTGGTAATTCTCGCAGGGCATCCCAGCTAGGGTATTGGGATTTGGCACCCTCCGGAAATGCCAGGCGGGAGTGAGGGTGCCGGGGGCTTCTGCCCTCCCAACCCAGGCCTCCGTCCCTCCATCCCCTCACCTCAGTGCCACTGCCCGGCCCCGCCCCCCAGCCAGCGTGGTGGCCTGGGCTGGGGGGCCAGGTGGGCATCATACGAAGACCTTGGCCAGGGCGTCGGCGCCCGCGCTGGCGATGAGGGCCTTGCTGGGGTGGCAGGCAACCGCATGGATGGCCTCCTCATGCTTCTTGCGGTGGGCCGTGATCTCCTGAACGCACGTCTTGTTGTCCAGGCTCCACAGACGCAGCGAGCAGTCATGGCCTGTGCAGGTGCAGGAGCAGGAGAGGCTGTCGCCCAGCAGCTCCAGGTCCCCCAGCTCCCTGCCCAGAACCGCCTCCTGAACCCGGCCATCCTGGAGACAGCTGAACCGTCCTGGCCACCCTGCCACACACATGGCTCGTGCCTTTGTGCGTGCACTCGTCTACTGACATCCCTGGTCAGGCCAACACACCCCCTTCATCCCCCTGGGGAGTTTCAGCCCCTTCTCCACCTGCCCGAGTCCCAGCCATGCCATCGAGGAGCAGCCCCGTGGTCACTGGGGCTCGGTGTCTTTATCCACAAACGGCAGGTGCCCTAACTGCTAACACGTCTTGTGGGGACTGAGAGTCAGATAGGCCTGAAATTCCTGCAACCTGCTGCGCTGTGACCAAGTGAAGTGACTTCTCTAGGCCCGGTTTCCACGTGTGTGCAATGAGGGCTGCAGTATCAACATCATTCAAATGCAACGGGGCCATGTGGGAGCACACCTACTGTGGCTCCCGTGTTGTCCCACCCCTGTGACCACTCTAACCAGCCACAGAGGGGCTCCTGACCCCTGCTTGGACAGCACTCCCACCAGCACCCCGGCCTCAGAGAGCCCCCGAGCACTCCTCTCCCCCTCTTGCAGGGAAGGGCATGCGCCCTCACTCCTGAGGGGCCAGGAGGCTCCCGACTTACTTCCTGACATCAGGAAGACGCCATTGGGGTCCACGGCGAGGCAGGTGACCGCGTCCAGGTGGGCGACCATGGAGTGCACCAATTTCCCTGCAGGGAGAGAGTGGGCGACAGGTTACTTTTCCACTCTGCGCCCAGCCTGGAAAGGTGCAGGCGTTAGCGGGGACACTAAGTCTCCAAGGTGGACCCTGGAAGGTATCCATCTGAGGCGGGCTGACCCCTGCCCCCCACCAGCACAGGTGAGCGGGGGCTGGGGAGGCTGGGCCTCACCTGTGCGGTTGTCCAGGAAACGGATGCCTCTGTCATCATGGGCGGTGATGGTGAGGGGCTGGCTGGGGTGACTCACCACCTGGTTGATCTGGGTTGGGCCTGAAAAGGAGAAAAAGCAGAAGTCAAGGGGGAAAGAATCAGGAAGACCAGGAGAGACAAAGACGAGAGGAGAACCGCCATCCCGTCCCCGTCCTCTGCCGAGACGTCAAGCAGGGCTGGGCGCCCTGGCCGCTCCCTCCCGGGCCCAGGGCTTCTCCATCTGTGCTGTGGACACTGCGTGGCCCTGGGGCAAGCAGGAGGGGTGACAACCGTGAAAGCGGTGCTTCTGCTCCACCAGGCAGCCCACAGGAGAGTCCCCAGGGACGTCTCTCCCCCAGCCCTCCAGAGCTGTCCAAAAGGGCACAGTGACTGGGACTCGATTTCCATCCTGCTCAGAGCCCTGGAGAGGGCAGGGCAGCCACCGTCCACTGACTGGGCAATAGGAGAAAAAAGTCCCAGGAGAAACTGGGGCCCTGGAGGCATTCAGACCTCAGCCCCTGGCCCTGGGCTCCCCCTTACCGCTATTCCCCCGGGAGTCCAGCGTGAGGAGGGCACTGCCAGCCTCCAGGTCATACAGGACGGTGTCGCCAGAACGGAAGGAGGCCACGATGTGGGCAGGCTCGGTGCTGGTGAAGGCCACTGAGGTGGGGGTCCCGTGATCTGAAGGTGGAGGGAACAGAAGGCTGCCAACAGCCCCACTCCTGCCCTGCGGCAGGAAGCCTGGGCCCTTGTCAGGAGTCACCCTCCTCCAGGGGCCTCCACCCCAGGTGTCACGGCCCTCCACAGCCCCGCGGCCCGCCCCTCACCGCTGGCTGTGGAGAAGGTGCAGAGGCAGGTTGGGCTGCTGCTGCTGGGGTCCCAGATGCGGACGGTGCCATCGGCAGAGCAGGAGGCCAGGCGCTGGGAGGCGGGACTGAAGGCCAGGCCCCACACCGCGTCCCCGTGGCCCTCCAGGACGTGGCTCAACACGCTCGGGTCTGGGCCAGCCAGAGGGAGGAGAGGGCTGCGTCAGGGCCATGGCCCTGCTCCAGCTCGGACAGCCCGGGAGCGCCGGCTCTGCCAAGTCACCCCCCAGTCCTTGTGCCCTCAGAGCTGCTCAGGCTCTGACCACGGGCCAGCTGTTCTCTGAAGATTTCAGGCTTTCAATGCCCCCAGAGTGGAAGCTCCAGAGGGAGGGATTATCTGGCTCCCTGCCGTTCCCCCAGGCCCGTGACAGTACCTGGCACAAAGCCCTGCTTGGGACGTACCTTTTAAGACTTAAGGGAGCAAGGGCCGAGACTTCTGCAGCCTGGCCCCTGGAGTCAGCCCTACCCTCCGTCCCCGTGGTCTTTTCTTGCCCACTCTCTCCTCCAAAGCCCTCTGGCTGTTCCCACCACGGCCTCCCTGATCACTCGGGTCCACATGGGGTGCTCTGGCTGGGCCCTGCTGACACCCAACATGTGACAGCCTGCCGGGCAAACAGCAGACACTGCCTGGGGCTGACCCCCGAACTTTGACAGGGTGAGACGGTCCTGAGAGGAGATACAGATCCCCAAACTCTGCCCCGACACGCCACGGCATGGAGCCAAGTGTGTGATCAAAAGCATTATCAAAAGAGGTGTCAGAGGGCAGGCACATGGACACTGAACAAAGGGGACGGTCTGCTCACTTCTCCACTTGATATTAAACCCTGCAGCCCGGCCCAGCTAGTGTCTCCACTTCCCCTGTCCTGCCTCCTCCGTTCGACCACGCAGATGCAGGCAGAGACCAGACTGCTGCCAGGGCCCACCACACCTTTGCCTGGTTTGTCCCAAAGCTCCACCCCAATGAGCTTCTCTGCACCGCTCACCCAGCGCGCCCTCGTCTCATCTGACCCTCGGTCACGTGCTGAATCACCTGGGCCCAGGCTTCACCAGAGTGGGAGCCCTTGGCGTTCCCTCCCGAGTTCTCGAAGCGCGAGGCCTGGGTGCTGAGGAACCAAGAGGCCCCCGGGGGCAGGTGGGTGGGGGAAAAGAAAGACGGGAGGGAGCTGTCCTCACCGTAACCGTCGTAGGGGTCCATGTTGAGGTCTGGAATCTTCCAGCTATGGATGCGGGCATCTGCCCCACCACTGTAACAGTATTCACTGTGGCTGCCCATGGCCACGGCCAACACGGGGCCCCTGGAGGATACAGAGGTGGGGTGAAGGGGGGGACCAGACACTCTGGGCTCGCCTCCTCCCCTCAACGGGACCTGAGGGTGTGCCACTAGCGTATTTCAAGGCTGCTGAAAAGGAACCCAGCATCCGGACCTCTGGCTGGGCCACCCAGGCTAGCTGCCCGTCCCCAGCCTCCCCCTCCTCTAAAGGCTGTGCTGAGAACCAGCTGTGGAGCACTGGAAGCCTGCACGCCGTCGGGAGCAGGGCAGGGTATGTGCCGAGGGTTACGGGGACCTGGAGCCTTTCAGCCACCCTGCCGCCTGCCCTGGCTCCCAGGATGGCAGTGAGCGGGCCGGGGGCAGGCTGCCACAGGGGCAGGGGCACTTCCCTACCTGTGAGCCCGGAAGGCGTGGATAGGCTCCACATCTAGCGCGGCGTTCCTGTAGGTAGCCAGAGGAGCCGGGAGTCACCCTGTGCCCCCATGCCCGGATGCCCCCACCCTCCACCCCGGGGCTGCTGCCCTCACTTCTTGGCCGTGACTGCCTTCTGGAGGTTCCAGAGCTTCAGCGTGCCGTCCTCGGAAGCGGTGAGCAAAGCTGACTGGCTGTGATGGAAAGCCAGGGAGCGGATGCCGTCATAGTGGGAGCGGAGAGTGAACTTGGGGTTCCAGGTCTTCTTGAAGGCGTCTTTGCTGTCAGACAGCTGGGGTGGGGGAGCTACCTCAGGGTCTGCCCATCCTGGCCGGTGGTCCCCATACCCAGCCCCACATGGAGCCGCGTGTGGCACACAGGAGCCTCTGGCCCAGGCCGGACCGCTTCCTTCTCGCCCACACGCAGCGCCCCCTCACTCGCTCAGCGAGTTCCTGCAGTATGCAGGGCCCGTGCTAGCTTCTGAGGAGGCAATGGTGAGCCCAAGCCCGGGGGTGCCCCCGTTCAGAGGGAGCCTGGGGGAGATGTCAGAGATCATCTCCATTGCAGAGACGATCAACAAGCAGTGCCATGAATTTCAGATGCACTGAGAGAAGGTGCTGGGCAGCCCGTCCTCCTCTGTGCGGGTCAGTAGGCTTTCCTGGGGAACTGACACGTGATCAGGACGTTACTAGGTAAATGAAGGGGAGAGAGTGCGGAAACAGAATGTGCGAAGTCCCCGAGGCAGAGGGAGCAAAGGCGGATCTTGAGTTGAGAGGAGGCCAGGGGCACAGCAAGTGAGGGAGAGCAGCAGGGAAGGCCTAGAGGGCTGGCCCACACTCAGGAACCTGCTGCTCCTTCTCAGGGACGGGGGCCCCTAGGGAGGGTTTAGAGCCGTGGCTACTCCTTGGCGGGGGTGCTGGACTGAGGAAGAGGAGAGTTGCTGCAGAGAGAGGTGGGAGGAGGTCCCAGGGGAAGTCTCCCAGGGAGTGGAGCAGGGGGCCAGCACACGCAGTGGGGAGAGACCGGGGAGCAGCGTCCACAGGCCTCTGGGGGAGAGTCCCCTAGACACCACAGAAGGCCTGATGGACCATGGTGTCCCTCTCGAGGTGGGGGGCCCGGGGAGGGCCCCGGGGGAAAGGAGACGGGCAGACTGTCAGGAAAGTCTCAGTGCCCTTCCCTAAGACGGGGTGCACCCCAACAGACCCCTACATCTGGGCTCTGTCCCTTGAGGTCATCGCTTCTGCCAGTTGTTCAGGACTAGAGGGTCTACCCCCTCATGCGCATGCAGCCCTGGGGGGGGGGGTGCGTGTCTTCATTTCATTTTGGGGGAGCAGAAGAACCCAGCATCTTCCTGCTCAGACTCTCCCAACCCGCCCCCGCCACCCTCCCAGAGTGCCTAACCTGGCTGAGATCACCAACCACCTGGAGTCTCGCTGGAAGCTGCGCTAAGTGTCCTAACCACAGGAACAAGCTCACACGCGCCCACTTCAGAGATACCCAGAGAGCCAGCGGCCTGGCCAAAGATCTCAGGTTCAGGACACTGGCCCTGTCTCTCTGCATTCCAGCCCCTCTGCCCCGCCAGCCTCCACTCATACCAGATCAGCCTGATTTTTTTGTGTGTGTGACTGGAGGTCACCTTCCCGTCCACAATCCCCGCCTCCTGCACAGACTCCTACCCGCTCTGCCCCACCCCAAAGGCACCTGCTGCCTCTGATGCTGTATTTGGACTCAGCATCCCTTTGCCCCTGCTTCGTGCCCATGGTGGGTCCTGGATTTAAGATGCATGGAAGCCTGGGATGGAAGGGAGCACTGCTGAGAGGAGGAGCCTGGCAGTGAATGAAACCCAGGCTTCAGAGCCTGCTAGGCCAGGCACCTCGGTGACCCCGTCCAGTCCCAGCGCCTGTCTGCATCAGCATCCCTGTGACACAGGGTGAGCTGGCGAATGATTTCACATCGTCCTGCTGTGTGAGGGGCTGGGTGCAGGCAGGCACCCGGCCAGAGCTCAGCCAGTCCCAGCACTGCGCCGGAGGCCTGGGGGGGCCCGAGAGGGATGGGGCACCCCAAGGACTTACATCACAGCTGAGGTCGTTGTCGTTGGTGACGGTGAGATCTGCCAAGTCCCCCAGGCTCACCTCCCCGCCCCCGATAGTGTCCATGATGAAAACGTCTGAGGAGAAGCCAAAGGAACCTGGTAGGGGGAGGGGAGGGAGGGTGCAGAGAGGGGCCGGGAAAGAGAGAGAGAGAGACAGAGAGAGGCGGAGAGAGGTGAGAAGGGAGACAGAGAGGCAGGGAGAGAACAAGATCAAGAATCACAGCTGGAAAGAAAGAGACAGGGAGAGCCAGACAGACAGGGCAGGACAGACAAAAAGAGGGAGACAGAGATAGACAGACGAACTTTTGGGACAGGGAGGCTGCAGACCAGAGGCTGGGCCTCAACTCTGAGGACACAGAAGCCCGGGGCTTAGCTCTGCAGCCTCCCTCTGCCGTGGGCTCCTCAGGACTGGGCCAGGGTGCAGGAGCCGCTTACCTTCGTGGGGCCGGGGCTGGGGGGTGCCAGGAGGCGGGCCAGTTACTTTGGGGGGCAGCCCATCCACATCCCGAAGGTCAGCCAAGATCCCCTGGAGTTTGACCCGCCGGCTTTCTGCAGGCACAGGGCGCAGACGGGCGGGCGTCACTAACCGGCCAATCAGCCATGTGGGGAGGGTGCTCTCCTGCCACTGTGGGGGCACTGGGGAGCCCTGGGCTCCAAGTGGGGTTGGGGGACAGGCAGAGGAGAAAGACAGAGAGGGGACCCTCCATGGCCTCAGTCCCCCATCATCCTACGTGACCCCAGGGGCCTCAGAGCTCAGAGTCACAGGACAGGAAGCGCTGCCCCCCTGCCTTCCCCGCGCTGGGTCTGCATCCTGTTCCCCCTCCCCATCCCCCCAGGTCCACCAACTGGCCAGGGGTGAAGGGCTGGAGGCCCTGCCTCAGGAAGAGCTGGGCCTGCCTGTGACCCCCTGAGATTTTCCAGGGAAAGGGAGAGGGCCTGGCCACGGCGATGCAGCCTCCGGCTCTCCGGGGCCACTCTCCCCTCAGGAAGTGTATCCGTCCGGTGGGGACCCTGGGGCAGGAAGCAGCTGCAGGCTGCGGCCGGCAGTGTGCGCCCGCGGGGAGGAAGGCCGGCTAGAAAACCCCCAACTCACCCAGTTCATGGTGGGTCCCCTCTCCAGCACATCGCCGCGGGTCCGGAGAGCCCTCCCCATCCTCTCCCGAGCCCAGGAAATCAAACTCGTTGATGGCGTCCTCTGAGTCGTCCTCCTCGTCTTCATCCTCCATCTCAGGAACCAGGGCCTTGGATGGCAGCTGGGGCGTGGAGACCACCAGAGAGAGGTCAGGGCCCAGCCCACTTGGTCTCCCAGAGCAGAAAAACCAGGGCTCCTGGCCGCGGCCCCAGTCCCACACCCTGACGCCGTGCTCCCCCTACTGGAAGCCCTCAGGGCTGCACCTCTCTAGGGCTCCCGGGCCGTGCCAGCCCCCAAGCCTGGCTCTGGAGACCCTTTTTGCAGCTGCCCGCCGTGACCCCCACACAGGGCCCTCCTCCTCTCGCTCAGGCTGTTCCTGCTCCCCCCGTGCCCTGCCTCCCAGCCCAGTACACTTCTCAGGAAAAAACGTCAGATAATATGACAACCTGTTTTGGGGGCGAAGGAAGCTATACTTGGGTGTATGGGTGTACGGGCATGGAAGGAGACACTACAAAGTGAGATCAGATCCATGGATACAACAGTAATGAAGATGGACACTTACCACAATGCCGGCCTCTCGGGGTTACTCAGTGCACTGACTCAGCTTCGCATATATGATTTCACAACCCCACGGGGTTATCACTCTTCTCATTATTACTCCCATATTACAGATTAAGGAAACTGAGGCTGAGCAGAATGAAGCCCCTTGCCCCAGGTCCAAGCCACTCCACATACATCAAAGACAAGCTTTGGGCTGTGAGGCTACCTGTGGGTCTCCAAGTCTTCCTGGTAACTTCCTATACTGGCTGCATTTTTGTTTTCTTATATAACAAGCAGGAGCTACTTTTAGAATGAGAAAACACCCCAGTTCTTCCTTTCTGAGAAACAGAATGCTGGGCGAGTGAATACAGAGTCTGAGTTTTCCCACACTCGGTCGTAACCAGGGCTGAGAACCAAACCCTCTCGTTTTCCTCAGTCCACAAGCTTGGAGCCCATCCCAGGCCTGTGAACGGCGGGGCAGCATCGCGCCTGCGTCTCCCCACCAGACCTTTGAGACGCGGCCTCATGAGGTGACATCTCGCACGCAGACCTTTAGCCTCCCAGTTCCTAAGCATCACTATGTTTACCATCAAGTGCCATCCAGGAGGGAGCTGTGCATTTGGCACTTCAGAGACTGCACTTACGTTGCTTAAAGAGAGTTTCAGAGTTTTCAAAGACTGTTCGGATATGAGTTCTGCTTTCAGTGCTGGCTTAGGACACAGCTTGCCCTCAGCACTGGGACTCCGGGACCAGTGGACTCAAACACCACCTCTTCCAGGAAGTCTTCCCCCTCCTCAGTGTCCCCAGCCTGGGCCCTGCTTCAGACAGGCTGCGAATTCCTCCAGGGCGCGGGTGACTCCGTCCCAGAGGGTCAGCACCCCAAGCTGGGTCTCCAGAGTACGGACATGGAGGTGGCTGTGCTAGGGCATTTTCAGGCGCCAGCCTCTGGACTGTGTGGGAGGAGGGGGATGGGACGTGACTGCCTTCCCCTTCCTCTCTGGGAGAAGACCTAGGGTCAAGGTTCAGACAGCCTGCCCAGAGAGACGATGGTAGGGCTCAGTCCCTGAGAGAGGCCTTGCTTCTCTTTCACCTCCTGGGGCCGTTGGTGCCACGCGCCTGCCGGGTGTGAACTCATTTATTTTATTTTTCAAACATACAGATTTTATTTACTTATTCATTCATTTTTGGCTCTGCCATGTGGTGGCTTATGGGATCACAGTTCCCTGACCTGGGACTGAACCTGGGCCGCACCAGTGAAAGCCCCGGGTCCTAACCACTGGACCACCAGGGAACTCCCAGGACTCATTTTAATGAATTCCTCAACAACTCAGAAACAGACTACCAATCTCTGAGGCTGACACTATGACAAAGAGAATCACGTGCCCCTGGTTACAGAGCCAGGCCAGTGGCCACTCTGGGAGGCACTCACGGGCGGGTCTCCTGAATCGTGGTCTGGTCACTGAAGGTCAGCTGGTGGAGACAGAGGCCTGGGGACGCGTGAGACCCTGCACAGTGAGCTGCCTGACGGGGCGTGTGGGACCGCCGCAGGGAGCACGCGAGCATTTCTAACAGAAGCGCAGGGCAGAGGGGAGGTTTCCCAGAGGGGGCTGAGGGAGACCTGTGAAAGGAGTGGAAATCCACCAGGGGGCACGAGGGACCAGGCGTTCTGGACTCGGAGACACCCTGCTCTTCCTGGAACCCCAAGGCCAGGGCTCTGGCTCCGGGCGCTCCGGTCCCCTCAGTGCGCTCACTGAGCCCTGGACCCTGCGCTGAGCCATGGTGGGGGCCCTGGATACAGAGTGGAGGCCGGGGCAGGCCTGACACCAGACAGGGAGGACCCAGGATGGTCCCGATCAGAATGGGGCAGCCCATAGGAGATTCCTGACCCTCTAGGGAGAAGGGGAGCAAGGGCGAATCAGAGGCGGCTTCCTGGAGAAGGGGGTATCTGAGGCGGGTCTGAGGAGGGAGGGCTGGAGTTCGGGTGGGAAGAGCCGGTCAAGGAAAGCCCCCGAGGCTGTCTCCTCTCCCACAGGCCCCCCTTCATGGGTGCATGTCCCTGCCTGTAACTACCTATAAGCCCACTGCTGGCCACAAGCTCCTTCCTGCAGGGACCAGACCTCTGTGTCTTCATGTACTTGCTGCCAGCGCAGAGCTTGGCCCAAAAGGCCTACAATGACAGGTGAGACCAGGCCCTGCCTAAGGACAGCGCCGTCAGGATGGCAGGAGCACTGGGCTCTGGCAGTCCAGGAGCAGGGGTGAAACGTGGTGGGAGCCCGACCTCCAGGCCAAGCTGAGAAGACCTGGACTCTCCACCTTGTAAGCAGTATCCCTGGGCCTGGGTCCCGCCACCAACAGCAGACTGGACACTCGCATCCTGTGTGAGTGCCCCCCAGAGCTCCCCAACCTGACTCCAGGCTAAGCTGGCGGCTCGGCCACATCCCCTAAGGGTGCTGGGGAGGGAACAGAAAAGACCCATACAGCCCCTGGCTTGGGGAGCTCACAGTCTATTGCGGGAGACAGCCGGGGGTGCGTCAGAGCATTTCCAAGTCCCACTGTGGTTGGGCTGGCGGGAAGGAGAACGCGCCATGAGAGGGCATCTCGGGGCTGGCCTGGCCTGGTGACTCAGGAAAGGCCACTTGGAAACATCAGAGCCCAAGGAGGGAATGTGGAGAGAACGATGAGGGTACAGCTGGAGAAAGGGTTGCCCTGACAAAAAAGACCAGCGCTTCGGAAGGGACCAGAGGCCACAGCATGGCTGGACAGGAGACGGGAACATGGAGAAGGGATGGACCAGTCCTCAGAGGAGCCTGAGAACACCCCCAGAGGCCCTCTGCATGCAGGGGGGCCCTCCTGGGTGGGGGCCCCCCGGGCTCGCGCCCTCACCTTCACGCGCTGCTTCTTGTGCTGCACGCTGTCCAGCTCGTCGTCCTCGTCACTGTCCTCGTCCTCGCAGTTCTGCAGGAAGGGGATCTGCTCCAGCACCGAGCCGCCCAGGCGCTCTTTGCCGTCCTTGCCGGCCGCATTCCTGCCCAGGACAGGGGGGCAGAGGGGCTGTCAGTCCTGCCAGACGACAAAGCTCGGCTGGGAGTGCGCGGAGGCTGGGGGGTAGGAGCCCGACCCCAGAGGAGCCTTGACTCTGACCCTGCACAGGGCTTGGAGCCCGGCCTCGGCCAGGCGCACCCCGGTTGGACCCCTCACTGAGCTCTGACCCTCCCCCCAGTTCCAGACCAGACCCCGACCCTGACCACACGTCCCCCGTGTGTGCCGAGTCAGACAGAGAGCTGGTCATGAGATCGCCGCTGACTCTGCAGCCCTCATCCCCACGGCCGAACCACGTGCACACAGGGCAGGGAGTGGTGGGGACACACCCGGCGACAGGAAAGTGGGACCGGTCAGCCCGGGACTGCTCAGGCCCCTCACCGCCTGCGCCCTCCCCACGCCAGACGGCGCCACCTGTCCACCTCCGGGCCTGCTGTTGAGTGGCTCCCTGGGGACGACAAGTTTGCGCCAAGGAGGTCATTTGCCACCAAACGTGACTTGAGGGCAGAATTCGAAGTTCAGATAAACGTGGACGGCCTCCCAAAAGGAGGCTACCACCGGGCTGACGCTCCAAGTGTCCTTGTCAGCTGCCTGGGAGGACAGGTGCCACTCGGTAGAGACCCCCCAGCCCTCAGTTCCTAGCCTCCCTGCTCGGGCTTTCGTCCCCCACGCGAGCTGTCTCCGCCCAGCCCCCTGCTCTTCTGGGGGCCTCCACACGTGGAATGGGCTCCTTCCTTGGTGCCATCTCTGCACCCTCTGCCTCAGTGACTGCCCAGCCCCGTGGTTTTCAAGACCACCTGTGTGCTGGTGAACTGGAGATACAGTCATGAGTCAAGTGCTGCCCCTACCCTCGCCACGGGGGCTCACAGAGACCTCACACACTCCACTCGTTCTGAATGGCCCCCTTGAAGCCCCCCACTCATCTCCTCCATTTGGGTCAGCACTGCTCCCAGCTGCTCAGATCCCACCCTCCAGTCACCCCAGTTTCTTTACCACTCCCCCCACAGCCAGTCCTTTCATTATCGCTGGCTCCCACTGAAAACCTGCTGAGAAGCGGACCAGCCTCACCCCTCCACTGCTGACGTCCACCGTCTCTGGCCTGGACGTCTCTAGGAGTATCTGACCGGCCCTCCCTGCTCCCAGCCCGGCCCTCAGTCAGCCTCTCCATAAGACCAAGATGATGTCACACCCTGGCTCAAAACCACAAGCCCATGTCTAAGCTCCTTATCGTGGCCCGTGAGGCCCACTGTGATTGGACTTCTGAGATTTCAGCCTCGCCACAGACCACAGTACCACGTGCTGGCAGTGCTGCCGCCACACCGGCCTCTGCCTGCTCCTGGGCGTGCCGGCCCCCTCCTGTCCTGGACCCTTTACTGAGAAACTCCCCTCCCAGCTACCTGGCTGGCTCGGCCTCCACTCCATGCAGTTCTCTGCCCAAACGTCATCCTGTTCTAAGCAGTACTGCTTCTCCCATCGCCCTTTTTCTCTTAAATTAAGATTTTTTTTTCTTTTTTGATGTAGATTGTTTTAAAAGTCTTTACTGACTTTGTTATAATATTGCGTCTGTTTTATGTTCAGGCTTTTGGCCACAAGGCATGCGGGATCTTAGCTCTCGACCTGGGAACGTCTTAACCACTGGACCGCAGGGAAGTCCCTTCCCACTGCTTTCTCACTGCCTTTCATAGACCTCCTCACATCATCAGCGATTTATTTTCTGACAAACAACCGATGAGAGAATGAGCAAGGGAGAGCTCCCCGGGGGGCAGTGACCACGTGTAGTGCCACGCCCCCAAGATCCCCCAGGGACTTGGCGTTTGCTGGGGAGCATGCAGGCTGGCGCCTCGGGCGGGGCCGGGTCGGAGGGGAGCTGCGGAGCGCAGCAGCATGGAGGTGACGCCAGGGGAGGGCCACCCAAGGGGACCCAGGACAGAACCTGCACATCCCACAAGGGACAGAGGGTTCTGGAGAAGAGGAATCCACGATTCACTTCAGGAAGGACGCGACTCCAGATCATGGACTGGCCTCATGGGGTGGGGGCCGGGGGGGGGGGGGGCGACACCCTCCAGACCCCAGGGCTCACCTCTTGATCTGCTCCTCGATCTGTTTCACCAGCAGCGACTCCCCACCGCTGAGCCCCCCGGGGGCCGGCGGGGCCCTGGGGCCCCCTTCGCTGGGCTCGGCGGCCCCGTTGAGCTCTAACGAGCGGCCCAGCAGGGAGCGCACACGCTTGGACCGCATGTCCAGGATGGTGTCGGTGTAGCCGACCTCTTCCAGGTACCTGCGGGGAGGCAGAACCAGGACAGGTCTGCAGGGGAGGTGGAACCTGAGTGGGTCAGGCGCCACATGGCTTCTTTCTATACCGCAGGGGCAGATGTGAACTGGGCCAGCCTTTTTGGAGAAGCAACTGAAGACAACACACCGAAATCTCACATAAGCGTTCCCCTGACCCTGCTGCTTCCCCTTCGAGACTACTCCCAGTGGAAGCCTTTCTATGTGGGTATCGTGCTGTCGCAGACGCTTGCAGAGACAGTGTACATCTGGGGGACCTAAAGGCAGGGGCCGACCCACACTTCTGCTGACGAGGACTGCGGAAGTAGATGTCCAATGGGACACCAGGCACAGGATAAACGAGGCAGAGTGCCAAGTGCTCAGTGGCGACTGACCCCTTACGAGCCCATTGACTGTAGCCTGCCAGACTCCCCTGTCCAAGAATACTGAAGCAGGGTGCCATCCCTTCTCCAGGGGATCTTCCCGCCCCAGGGATCAAACCCGTGTGTCTTAGCTCCTGCACTGCAGGCGGATTCTTTACCACTGAGCCACCTGGGAAGCCCAGAGGGGAGGGCCGTGCTCAATAAACAGCACAACAGAAGTTGTAAGCTAAGTGCTCCTTACAATTCAAGTGTTCGTTGAAAAAAAAACAAGGTGCCCCTAAGGATAGACCACACAAAAACACACGTTTGTATCACACCCCGCACCAGGCCTAGAAAGAAACACACTGAGCTTCAGAGCAGTGACCTCCTCTGCAGAGCGAGATCAGGGAGGTCAGTAGGAACTTCCGTCATTTACTCTACACGCGAGCATTTATTACCACCATGACTACAAAACCTGAAGCCAGCTGAGACCGGCCTGAATGCTTAAGAAAAGGGAACAAAATTCAACTACAGGTATCTGTGGCTTCAGAACACTGGAGACAGGAGTCCCTGGCTGGTCCTCAGGGGGCGCCCGCAGAGCCTTTCTGTTGACTGTGACCCAGGCGCCTGGGCAACAGCAGACACAGAATCTGGGGCATGTGCATGTATGCCTGAGGCTCCCCTGTCCCCACCACCAGGGAGAGGTGCGGAGGGGGAGCTGGGCTCTGGGGATGGGTTCCTAAGATCACACGTCAGACCCTCCGCGTATTAGCTGGGACCTTCCGCAGCCCTCTCTGCACCTCGTTTTTTCATCTGTGAAAATGAGGGGAACACTAGCAGTTACACTGCCTAGGGATTTACGCGAGGAATCCTGGTGCACCAGGCGTTTAGCCCAGTGCCAGGCACATAACAGGTACCTGGCAGGTGTTGCCTGGGACAATCCTTCTGTCATCACTGTTTGCATGCCCTTTAAGCTAGCAACTGCAACTACACTCTCCGACGTTTAGCGTAAGGAAATCAAGGATACGGACAAATAACTTCCTGGTGTTTGTCACACTATTAAAAAACTGCCTTCAACAAAATACACAAGAAGAGACTGGCCACAGGAAGTTATGATTATCCACATAACAGACGATTACATAGGTCTTGAAATGATGCAACATAACTAATTTATGTGGAGAAATATTCACAACACGTAACAAAGCAAGACCTTATGAAACAATACAAAGGGGGAACCCCCGCTTTTATAAAACACACACACACACACACACGCACAAATACATATACAGAAGAGAAAGCCTGTATGTCAAAATGTTTACAGGGGCATGAAATTCCCTGGGTGGTGGAATTATGGGTGATTTTTGTTTTCTGTGTTTTCCTGTTTCCCAAGTTTTCTAAAACACATATATCTCTTTAATTAAAAACAATAAAAATTTAACATTATCCCTTGGGTGGGGGGAAAAAAGGCACATGGGATTGCTTTCCAAGCGTGGGGGTCCCCCAGGGCTGCCTCCTGCCAGGCTTCCTGCGCTCCACCCCGACAGGGGGACGGGCCCTCCCGGCTGTGGCCAGCAGGGATCCTGAGAGCTCACGGTCCCCAGTGGGGACAGGAAGGACTGTGGCGTCCCCAGGCTTATCTCCCCGGCCCAGCCTCCGCCCTGGCCCGGCGTGCACTCACTGTCGGAGAAGCTGCCGCCCCTCCTTCCACACCAACGGGCTGCTCTCCAGGGTGACTGACTCCACGGGGCCATTGGAGACTGCGGGGTGGAGAGAAAGGAGGCAGGCTGTCTCGAGGGCACCACCCAGGCGCCCACCACCTCCTCCACTGGCCCTGTCCTCACCCTCAAACCCAAATCAGTCACTGCGGAGCCACCTGCTGAGAGGGCCTGGAGCCTCCCTCTCCCCCTGCCCTCCTCCTCTCTAGTCCCTCTGGGTCACTCCCCAGACCGTCCCCAGACTGTTTTCACACTCTGTTCTGCTATTTCCCCACACAGGAAACAGGCTGGGCTCTGAGCAAATGGGCAGACGACCGTGGCCCAGGCCGCCCCGGCCGCTTCCCGGCTATGTGGCTTGAGCAGGTTTCTCTGAGCCTCAGTTTCCTTATCTGAGAAACAAAGTTAACAACCACAGCACCCACCTCCTGGGACTGCTGTGAGGACTGAATGAGGCAGCCTGTTTACTTTCCTCGAGTATTTATCGGGCATCCATTATGTGGCCAGCTAGGTGCCTGGACTGTATCAGTAAACACAGACCCCTGTCCTTGTGGAAGGCACTCTGGTCGGCATCCGACGTGAAGAACAACAGTCACCGCCTCACCTTGTGAACACACCACACTCTTCCACGTCTCCGCGCTCCTGGACCCTCCTTCCTCCCCCTGGAACACCCTCCCTACTTCCCCGATGGTGAACTGATGCCTCTTTCTAGGAGCTCCGACCCTCAGGGGCCTCGTGTGTCTGCCTCAGACAGACAGAGGGACAGCGGACAGGACTCCCAGGCCTTCCTGCCCCCTGCCCCCCCACAGGAGGGCACCAACAGTGAGACCCGACCCCTCCCGGTCCAGGCCACGCCAGCTCTCCGTGGAGCACGGGAGACTCGGGGGTCCATCTCTGCTCTGTCACGCTCGGTTTGCAGCGGGTGGGCATGCGGGGAGGATCAGGCTGGTGGTGGGTACCTGGTTCCGACAGTTCTGGCTTCTTCTCCCCCTGGTTCAGGTCTGTCCCAAATTTCAGTTTATGGTATTTGGCCCTAAAAGGTCAAACGATGAACGAATGAGAGGAACCGAATCGTCGGCAGGGCCAGCCCTCGCCTCCAGAATCCCAGAGCCCGGGTTCTCGCCCTCCTCCACCCTGCCCGACTGGGAAGCAGCCGTGGCGGAGGCGGCGGTACAGATGGCACGGTGGCGAGCCCGCTGCTGGGAGCCGGGCACACCGGGCTGCCGTCCCAGCTCTAAGTCCTTGAAGAAGTCCTCTCCCTCCAGAAGCCTCACCTGAACCCATCGGGCCCCTGGAAGGCAGGGATGAGACGAGGACTGTGTGGCGTCTGCCACGTGGTAGGTCATTGCCATGATGAAGCCGTTGCTCGCGGTCTGCCCCGAACCCCACCCACGAGATCCTGTTCTGCCCCCCTCTCCTGGACCGTGTGGTACTGACTGATGGAGGAGAGGATGCTCCCAGGGGCTCGACCCCTGAAGGCAGGCAGGCCGGGGCATGGCGGGGCTCACCTCTCCTGCTTCAGTGCGTATTCCAACATCTTGATCCGCCGCACCAGGTCCGTCTTGAGATTCTCCTGCCCCTTCCTCTCTCCCTGGAGGAAGGCCACCTGAGCCTGTGGGTGGACAGAAGGGGATGGTAGATGGCAGGGCTCAGGCTCACTGACCTGTGTCCCTCACTCGCTCGGGGACAAGCAGCTCCAGCCCCCCCATCCCCTCCCACCCCAGGGACACGCAGCAGCCACTTCTTCAAGCGTGGAGACCCTGAGCCAGGGTTCAGCGGAGCAGTGAGAGGGCGGCTGGATCTGTTTCCCTGTCACCCGTGATGAAACGACTGAAGAGAGACAGACTGGTGACAGCTTGAGGCTCCCTTGGCCCCCACCTTTGGGGAGAAGGTGGGGGCGGTAGGTATTAAGAGCCCTGGGCGCCTCCTCCCCCACCCCCGGGCAGGTGCCATCCCCAGGGTTGTTGGCGGAGGTGGCATGGCCCTGTTCAACCAGAGCTTCTGTCTCGGGGGGGGTGTGGGAAGCTGTTTCTGGAGTTTAGGGACAGGAGTGGGTAGCTCGGCTCGGCTTGGCTCCCGCTGCAATGCAACAGCTTTGCCATCCGACCTCCACGGTGGGGACCGACCGTCCTGCTGGAGTCGGCCCAGAGGAAGGGAGACGTGCCACAGACATGACCCCGGGCCCCTGCCAACCACTTCACACCGTCTGCTGGCCCGGGCTGCCCCCATCTGCTCTGGCCCGTCAACGGGCCTTTTGGAGACACCAACGGCCTTCGAGGCAGGCTCCTGGCCCCCGACCATGCTCCGGAAGCCCAGTGCCAGAGCCCTGAGCGCCGCGCTCCTCCCTGGCTTCCCCTCCAGCACTCCTCTGACCCCGGCTGGGACCGCCCGAACTTCAGGCCTGGCTTGGCCATTTCCGCGAGGCACAATCTTACACGGGTCGTCAGCCCTCTCTGAGCCTCCACTTCCCCTTCCATAAAATGGGGCTCCTGAGAGTGCCTGCCCCTCACGGGTTAAGTTGTTCTCAGTCCAAAGCCTGGCACAGACGAAGGGCTAACAAATGCCAGCTCCCACCTCTTGTTATTCTTATTCTCTCAAAATACTTAATTATTTGGTTGCGTCGGGTCTCAGTTCTGGCATGCAGGATCTTTCCTTGTGGTCCACAGGCTTCTTTTGTGGGCTTAGCTGCCTCGCTGCATAGAGAATCCTAGTTCCCCGATCAGCAATCAAACCGGCATCCTCTGCTTTAGAAGGCAGATTCTGAACCACTGGACCACGAGGGAAGTCCCAGGGCCCAGTTCTTCACAGGAGCTAGGATGCCTGAGACCATGGAGCAGAGAGGTCTGTGGCTGTCAGGCCTCTTACTGCCCCCGCCCCCAGCAGCTGCATCGTCCTGGAGCTGACCCTCACACACCACGTGCTTGCTGAAGAACTTCTGCAGCTCCCTCAGGAGCCCCCAGACACCTCTGCCAGGCGGTGAACATTCCCAAAGCCTTGCTCCAGGACTGTCCGCCGTTGGTGGCCTCTCAGATGCCCGTGAACATGCTTCCTCCTCGCCCTGGGGCTCGAAGCGCCCTGACCTCCCTGCCCCTGGCACTTCTGCCACACACAGCCCTGTGCCCAAATGCCTCCCCTCGCCCGCCGCAGGCCCCAGGGACCAGGTCTCTCCCTCAGGTCAGCAGAGATTCAGATGTGGGCTGAGTACTGCTGAACACTGGCCTGAGGAAAAGGTACACTCAGACGCTGCTGGCGGGGCCACAAACTCACAAACCCCTCCAGCGGGCCATCTGGCCACATCCACAAACCTGTTCAATACATATTCCTTTTGTCCTAGCAGTTCCACTTCTAAGGAGTTTACCCCATAAGTATAACTGCAAGGGTAGACTTCCTTCCTTTACATATGTTAATGCACAACAAAAGCATCTTTCATTCACTCCACAAATATTTACTATGTATCAGATACAATCGTGGACACAGAACTAAACAAGATGAAGTTCATATTTTAGAGGAGGGTGTGGGACCAGCAGTGAACAAATAAATACCTGTCGCAGGTGTGCTACGGAAAATAAACCTCACCTGTCCACTGAGAGAAAGAGATTCCTCCTAAAACTTCTTTTCCGACACTTTAAATCAACACGTATGTACATAAATACCTAAGGCCAGACAGGCAGACACACGTGATCAACATCTCGGGAGTCTGAATTCATGTCCTTCGTGGATCTTCTCAGCCACCCAAATCAACGCTGTCCTGAGCGAGTTTTAGAAGGTGAGGGGAGTGGTGGAGAAGGCGAGGTTGATCACCAAACACACGCCCCAGGTCCCCGTCTCCCCGTGCCCTCACCTCTCTGGGCTTCCATCCACAACTTTCTGCTGCCAGGTGCCTGCCCCGCCTGCTGAGGCCACAGGCGTTCCCCCCCTGGACACTGCCCGCCCATGATGGGACAGGTTCAGGGTGCGGGGCTGGCAGAGTAACAGAGAAGATGAGCGCCTCCTGCCCCCAGAGAGCCCTCAGTCCAGGACCCGGGCCAGGCACGAGCAGCCACAGCTAACACACGACTCGACTCGGACCCCAGGAAGGGAGCAGAGGGGGCTGGGGAGGAGGGACACCTCTGTGAAGAATTGACAGCTCAGCTGAGACCTGAGCCTGCTTAGCAGGCAGCCAGGGGTGGAGCGCGCAGCTGGTGGAGAACGGCAGCCTCTATAAAGGCTGGTATGGCTCCATGCGAGAATGTGTAAGAGGGTTAGTGAGGGAAGTCAGAGAAGCTTGTTGGCCTGACAAAGACTCACAGACCATGCAAACAAGTTTGAAATCCACCCTAAGAGCACAGGGGAAGCTACGGAAGGGTTTTTTCAGCAGGCCAGAGATCATCAAACCTACATCATCCGAAGGTAATTCCGCAAGCTGCGATGTGGAGAAATGATAGCTCGAGGGCAGGGGGGCAGGGAGAGGGCCCAGCTAAAGGCCCAGAAACCAGTCACAAAACAAGGCAGATCCCAGGGAGAAACGACAGGGGCTCCAACTAGGAACAGGCAGGGGGTGAGGCGTGGGTTAAGGGTACCAAGGAGGTGGCCCTCACCTGTGGGGGAAGAAAGTGGAGTGGGAGAAGCAGGGTCCAGAGTCACACCCAGACCTCGCACCTGCTCACCCCACAACGGGCCCCCTTGCTCCACAGCAAGCCCTGAGCGCCCATCGAATGATGATGCGAGAACATCACTCTGCGCTGCGGGCCCCTTCCCAGTTCTTCCGGCAAAGAAAGGAGAAGGAGAACCAGAAAACATGTGGGTGAAGTGTCCTGAGCTGGTGGAATGCCGCAGAGAGGGGAAGCGCTGCGGGCCTGGCCCTCCCACCCTGCGCACACCAGCGTTCACGGCCATGGCTGCCTGACCTGCCGGGGCTGGCAGGTAAGGCCGGGATCTGGAAGTTCTCTACCCAACCACCACCTCCACCCACTGCCACTGAGACAGGGCGGCCGCCTCTCCTCCGGCTGTTCCCTCGCCATCCAGGCGGCACGGGAGGAACCTGGCTATCTCAGTCCTCCTGGGAGTGATTGCTGACTCTCCCCCTCCCAAGCTTTCTGTCCCGCCCCTCCCAGTCCCTTCAGTCCCATCTGGCCCTGTGTCTCCGGCACTCCACTCCCCCCTCCCCAGGCTCTGGCAGGGCTGAGTCCCTGTGGATCCCTCAGAGCCCCTTGTGAGGCTGGCGGGCAGCGGGGGGGTGGCGGGAACCAGCTCCCCATCTTCTCTACCTGCAGCAGTGTACTCACTGTCCCTGCTCGTCCCTCAATGTCCAGTCAGACCCCCCCACCCCCGAGGTTCCTCTTGTCCTCAAAAAAGCTCGCTGCCCTTTGCAGAAGTGCCACAGCCACACCACTGAAACCTCAACTGCGTGTGAACCTCTGTAACCCCTGCACAAACCAGCCTTCTCCATTAGCCTGAAGTTTCTGAAGGGCAGAAACCTTACCACCTCCTTCTCAGAATCCCCCCACGATGCCAACTCCCTGCTCCCATCTTCCGGGCGCCTCCTGACAGGACCTCCCAAGAAGTTGCCTTTTCTGCCATTCCCCCACACTGATTGTCTGGTGCCAGGAGCAGCTGCACGAAGAAGCTATTTGGAGAAGAAGTATTCAGGGTTTATGGGGAAAATCTGACGCAGTCCAGGCCTTGAAGGCTCTCGGGGGAGAAGTCACACCTCTCTAAGTGATAAGTGCTCAAGTAAAAGTGTATAAAAAGAGGTGCTGCTGCGGGGAGTGTAAGTGTGGGACAACTTGGCAGAACCAATCACCAGTTTATAAACACGTCTATTCTACCACCCCACCTGTTTATTCTGCTGTACACTCACACAGGAGGGAATATGAGGACAGTCCCTGCAGCCACTTCCAATGGGCAAAACCCAGAAACTACCTAAAAATCCATTAAAGGGACACAAACTAAATGAGCGATGGTGCAAACACCCGCGGAATGTTGTTTTCAAAAATAATAAGCACTCTGTGTGCTCATATAAAAGAAACACAAAGATAGGTAAGTACGTGAAAATAAGTCACAAAATGATGCATGTAATAGGATGTAAACGGCAGGAGGAAAAGGGGACGACAGAGGATGACATGGTTGGATGGCATCACCGACTCGATGGACATGAGTTTGAGCAAGCTCCAGGAATTGGTGATGGACAGGGAAGCCTGGCGTGCTGCAGTCCATGGGGTCACAAAGAGTCAGACACGACTGAGTGACTGAATTGAATAGGATTTCATATATTACACACACAGAGCTGAATTACTTTTATAGCAATAATAGAGTTTGGGGGAGTGGATCTTTCCCTTCTCACTCACTTGGGTGTGTGTGTACATCTATACACACAGGCACTTCTGAGATCCTTGAAATTTACTAATGTAACAGAACAATAACAACAACAAAAGAGTACAAAGTTAGTTACACTGGAGCCTGGACAAAGGACAGCTCACTGGGCACAAACCACAACTTCCGCTCAGACTCCAAAAAGAATCATTAAGTGTGGGAGCACACACATCTTTCCTCTTGTTGGTCTTGAAGATGAGGCAGCAGGGTGGTGGGTGCTGCGGGGGACCCTGGTCTGATATGACAGCCAGGATGATCCTGGGAAGGTCGCTGAGCTTCCCTGAAACAAGCTTGTCATCTGTCCTAGGCGTCAGACGGGTATAATCCATGGGCTTGAAAGCCCACAGAACACCCCTGCCACCCACAGGCTGTGACCCTCGATACATTACTGACCTTCTCAAAGTCTCCACTTCCTCTTTTGATTATTTTTGAAAAAGAAGGGAAGGGGAATAACATCCCTCACCCTCCCAGAATGTTGCAAGCATTAAACGATACTATGTATTTGCCGTGTCTAATAGAGTGTCTGGCCCATAATATGTACTCCATAAACAGAGGCTGCTATTATAATTGCTAAATAAGGGCAATGTCCCTGGCCCTGTCTCCACAATGGGGGTATTGAGAAGATCTAATAAGATGTACCCTGGGCAAGCACTCAGGAAGTGGAGATAGGATACCATAGCAAGGAGTACTTACGTAAGGCTTTCTCTCCCACCCTAAACCCAAGCCTCAGCCACCACATAGTGAAGATCCCTATCGGGGTGGGAGAAGTGTGGGATGCTCTCTTTAGTCATCCTAGGGAGAAAATTCTAATCTGGTTATTTACTTGGGTCCCCACCTCAATCAGATACAAAACAGCAACTCAGAAGGGGAAAGACCAGCTGCTAGGAACTGATTTCTGCTAACAATGCCCCAACCCTCCGAATCCTCACCACTGGGATACCCAGGCTCCTCAGGACACTCTGCCAATCGACCCACACTTGTCAAGGTCACAAAATCCAGCCCAGCTCCTCAGCCTCTTCCAAACATTTCAGGACACCTCCCTCCCTGAATCTACTCCACAAACCATATGATCCTTTCCCAGAGACTTCCACAAACACCTCCCACGCCAGGATCCTTCTGAGAAGTTTCCTCTGGCTGTCTCCCTGCTCTACAAAAAGGCTCCCCCTGCCATGCCCCAGGTCCCCCGATTCCTCCTCACTGTCTCCATCCCACCACCCCTCTCCACGGCTGGCCAAGTTTGACCCTTCCCTACTCCAGTTTGGGGGTTCTCCATCTGACATCCCACACACCTCCCATCTCACGGCGGGGGCTCCCACGCCTCCACATCCCCAAAGAGTTTCGGCTCTCCGTTCTCTTCCAACACAGGCTCCTGGCTCACATCCTGGCTCCATCCGTGCTTCCAACCCTGAGACCCCTCCCCTGCACTCGGAAGCCAGGCCTGCCAGGGCTCCCGAGTTTCCTCCTTAGAGGAGAGGACACACACCTTCACAGCCCCCACCTCCCGCCCGGAGACCTTGCTCCGCATCCTTGGGAGTCCTCAACACAGCCGTCATTCAGTCCCTCCAGTCCAAACGCTCCGAAACACACACCCGTCCCGGGCTCCCTGACTTCCTCTCTCGACTCACACGGGTCCCCCGCCCCGCTCTCGCCCCCGCCTGATCCCAAGTCACCCCCGACGCCCCCTCTCACCCACCCGGGATCCATCGGGCTCCACCTCCAACGCGCACCTGGTCGGGGACGGAATGAGGAGTCCCTCGTGCGGCACCCTGGGAGCTTTTTGCTCACTCGTATACGAGACCTTTCCATCCTCTCCCAACACGCTTCGCTGAGTTCTCCTGGGGTCCCCTGGGGGCCCCGAAGCCACTCTTCCAGGAACCTTTCCGCCGGTCGGTTCACTCCCACTTCCACTTCCAGCAGGCTCGGGTCCCCCGCGCCGCCCTCCCCCGGCGAGCGCGCCGGGGCCCCCTCCCGCCGCCGGCCGCCCGGGTTCCCTCTGGACGCCCCTCGGCCGGCCCCTCACTCCGGCTCCCGGCCGGTCGCCGTCCCCTCCCGCCCCCCCGGCCGTCCCGGCGGCCATTGCTCCAAGATGGCGGCGGCGGCGGCGGCGGGTGAGGCCGGGCCGGGCAGGGCGGGCGGCGGTCGGGGGTCCTGGGGCGGTGCTCACCTGCAGCTCGGCGCGCTCGGCCTCCCAGCGGGCCTTCTCCGCTTCGAAGCGCGCCCACTCGTGCTGGATAAAGTGTAGGATCCCGGGCAGGCTCAGGGGCTCCGGTCCCGCCGCGGGACCGGGGCTGCCTCCGCCGCCGCCGCCTCCCTTGGCAGCCGGGCCGGGCCCGGGGGCGGGGGCGGAGACCAGGGCCGCCCCCGTCGGGCCGGGGCCCGCGCCGGAGCCCAGCGGGCGGCAGGAGGAGGCGGCGGCGGCGACGGCGGCGGCCGCTCGCTCCTCCATCATGGAGGCCCCGGGGCCGGCCCGCGCGCCCGCTGTGCCTCGCGCGCCTGCGCGGCCGCGCCAGCCTTCGCGCGCGCTTTCGGTGGGGGCCGGGGGGGCGGGTGACGGGAACGAAGTCGGGCGCGCGCCTCGCCCACCCGGGTCGACCTCGAAGGCGCGCGCGTGGGAGGGGGCGCGGGGCGGAAAGGAGGCGCGCGCCCGGAGGAGTGCAAACGCGACCCAGGCTCCGCGCGAGGATCGCCCCTGGGAAACGCGGTACTTGGGGAGGGTCCGCTTTCTACCCCCCTCCTCCCGTTTCACCCCAAAGAAAGACTCTAGCCCTCTCCAGACCCAAACAGCGCTCTCCTCCACAATCACTGTCACTCTTTTAGGGAAAGAACGACCACCAGGGGTGGTTTCAGCAATGGCCCCATCCCGATTTCTGGCCCAGGTCGGTTGTCATGGTAACTCCTCCCAGTCTGGAACACCCTTAGCCTCCCCTCCCTTCCACCTTTGTGGTTATGGAGCTCCAACTCTCTCCTGGCCCTGCACCAGGAAGAGGTTGCTAAGGTAACCCAAGTCCCTGGTGGTCCTTATGCTCCTACCCTCATCGGTTACTATGGCAACCTCACCTAGCACTCAGGTAGAAAGGACCCCAGCCCCAAGGACACTGCTGAGGGAAGCAGCTCTTTCCCAGCCCCTCCCCCCAGCCACCCAGTTGGCATTACCATGGTAACCATCTCCCCCTTTCCCATCGTGGGAGGTCTGTGGACCAAACCAACCAGGTGTTTTTATTTAGAGGAGATTCTCTGCTGAGAAATAGTTGCTATGGTTACAAGGCCTGGACCATCTCCAGAGAGGTGAGAAACAAGCAAAGCCAAGTCCTGGTTACTATGATAATGGGGGCAGTCCCCCTTCCAGTGACCATAAGACCCACCAAGGTAAAGGACATTTTAAGATTGTCTCTCAGGATGGAGTGGGTCTAGGGAAGGGGTAGTCATGCTAACACCTTCTATCACTTCTAGTCTTACCTTTCTGGACACATTTATGAAAGAAGGGGTGCTTATATGTTGCTATGACATCCTTCCCATCTCACTTTTATAGGTGAGATGAAATTGTATTCTGTTGTGTGAAATTGACTGATTTGAGGTCTCCTGGTTTCTCCTTCCCTCAGCGGTGCAGCTGAGCTGGGCTGGAACCGCCCCCCCCGAAGCTCCCTCATCCTGCAACCTAAGAGGTAAGAAATTCCTCAGTGTCACCAGCACTCATGTGGAAACTGCCCTTGTCCCCAAAGGTTTCTCCACACATCAGATGTTTTCTTTATCCATCACATTACCATTCTACAGATGCAGACATTGAGACTCAGACCAGGTGAAGCCTGGCCTGAAGTGAGTATAGATCCCCTTACACTGTTTCATAGGCAAAGGCAGGACAGTCTCAGCTTAACAATCCTCTCCTCACCTGGCTACCTTTTCTCTTTCATGACCCCTTTTGTTTTCCTGCTCTGTCTGTCAGTTGTTTGCAGGGATTGTATCTGTCTTCCAACCTCTGAAAGGACCTGCCCAACCACTGTCTGGTTTATCCCGGGTCTCCAGAACACAGAGGACACTCAATAAATACTTGTTTGTTGAGTAATGAGTTGAATTAATTAATTAACAGGCCATATTCAGCTTTGAAAGCACCTGTTAGGTGAGGACTGGGGAAAGAGGGTTGTCTCACTGAAGATGGGCCGAGAGTCGGACTGTCTTTGTGGACCCAAAAGAGACAGCCAAGTTTATTGGCTAAAATCACAACTCTGAAGCCAGCTTCCCCATCCAGTCTTGGGTTTGCCACTTCCCCGCTGTGTGACCTGGAGCAAGTGTCTTCACCTTTCTGTGCCTCGGTTTCCTCATCTTTTAATGTGATCATAATGTGAAGATTAAATGAGTTAATATTGGCAAAATGCTTAGAGTACGGTCTGGCACATCATGAGTGGCTAGAATTGTTGATATTATTACGGTCGTGTTATGATGTTTCAGAAGCCTCGTTTCATCCCCTTTGCCCCAATGTTTTTGAGTCCTTACAGTTTTTGAGTCCTTACAGTTGGGGAAGCCAAGACCGATCTTGTCACGGTACTAGATGAGTCCTCCCTATTTCTTCGCTGGTCCCATCACCTCCTCGTTTGACTCACACCCACTGGTCTCTGAGAAACCAGCTTCTGTCCTGTGTCCTGTTGGGTGCCTCCTGGCCCAGAGTCAGCCAGACAGTGCCTGGTGAGAGTCAGGGCCCAGGGATGGAGACCTGAATTCTGCTCCCTCTGGCCTTCCTCTCTCTGGGGCTCAGGTTCCCCATTTGAATAACAGGAATCAGTCATTCTTTCCACGCAGATTTATTGAGCACCTGCAGTAGGCAGGGTACTGAGCCATGTTCTGAGTATACAACATGAAACAAAACAGAGAAAACAAGACACAAGATAAGTCACATCTACATGAGAACTACTAGGAGAGGAAAAAAGACATAGGAAGGGTCTCATAGGGTGAGGTGTTTTAAGTAGGTCTGCCAAAGGAAGGGGCGAAGATCTGATGTCTGGCGGGGCGGGGGTGGGGGGCATGCAGCTGCTGCCGGGCCGGGAGAGCGTCCAGGCAGAGGGAACAAGTGAGTGCTGCAGCTGAGGTCGCCCGGGTATATCTGGAGAATGGTGGTCCACGTGACTGCATCTGAGTGGGAGAGGGCAGGGATCACGTGGGGCCTTGTGGGTCACAGCAGAGACTTTGGCCTTCCGTTTGAGTGAGTCTCCAGCCACAGAAGGTTTGAGAGCAAGTGCAGGCAGGACAGGATCCCTCTGGGCTCCGAGTGGGACCCAGACCATAGAGGACAAGGGTGAAGCAGCAGGATGGTCTCTCTATTTTTTTGTAAGCAAAGCTAAATGGTCCTCAATTTTTAATTTTTACTTTTTGGCCACACGGCGGCATGTGGGATTCTCAGTTTCCTGACCAGAGATAGAACCCGCATTGGAAGCACGGAGTCTTAACCACTGGAGCACCAGGAAGTGCCAGGATGGTCTCTTTAGAATTGTTAGAAGATTCTGAAACCCCCTAAGGGTCTGTTCTGTGCTTCTGTGTACCTCAGTGCTAAAAGTCTCAGGTTTTTAAGACCCCAAACATTCTGTGGTTTCAAAGTTTCCTTCCCTACTGTAATGTGCGTGTTCCAAGCTCAGGAGTCTTGTCTGTCTTTTATGTTATGTGTCCACAGCTGGGTCCCCAGTGCCCAGGACAGTGCCCTGTGTTGTAGAGTTCCACAAATAGATGCTGAAGGGTGGGAGGAAGGAGGGGTCCCTGGAAGGTCCAGAAAGCAATTCCAAGGTCCTGAAGAATAACAAGTCACCTGAAAGTGCAACGCAGATTCTTAAGCACCATCTGAATTGGATCAGAGAAGGACAAGCAGGCCTGGATGACTGAAGGGGATGGGAGGGTGTTCCTGGTGGGTGAAAGAGATGGGGAGACCAGGGCAGGGTCCCAGGTACATGGCCCCAGTGCAGCCCTGGGGACCTGAGTGGGCTACACAGAAACTGTGCCACTGGTCATCATCATTTCCCCAAGTACATTTTCAGTGTCCAGCTGCATGCAAGGAACACAGTGGTGATTGAGACAGCCCTGGCTCTGTCCTCTTGAGGCTCACAGTCTAGTGGGGTCAGACAGACCCATTCCCAGAGAGTGGAAAACCAGAATGGGCAGCCCAAAAGCTCTGGGAGTCTAGAAGGAATTTCTCACCCAGCGGGTGGTTCAGGGAGGGCTTCCTGGAGGAGGGGGGCATCTGCGCTGAAGCATGAACATAAGCAGGAGTTCTCCAGAGAGAGGCATGGGAGGTGTTCAAGATGAGACTCTTCCAGGCAGGAGGAACAGGATATGCAAAGGCTTAAAAATGAGCCTGTTTGGAAATTCCCTGGCAGTCCAGTGGTTAGGGCTCTGAGCTTTCACAGCTGTGGGCCTGGGTTCAATCCCTGGTCAGGGAACTAAGCTCCCACAAGCAGTGCAGCATGGCCAGAAAAAATTTAAAAACCATGTGTGTGGGGGGTGAATAAGACCTGTTTGAAGCAAAGCCCAAGATGGCTTAGGCTCAGAACTTGAAGTGTGGCAGGAGACGGGGCTGGGCAGGCAGGTCACACCTTGTGAGACATTGTGAGAAACTTAGACTTTCTCCCCAGAGCACTAGGGAGCCATGGCAGATTCTGAGCAAGAGAAGGAGAGGTCAGCGTGTGGTTTCTGCAGACCCCTGTGGCTGCCATGAAGAAGGGACTTGGTCAGGAGGAGGCTGAGTGGGGTCTGGGTAAACCTGGATTGAAGCAGGAGCTGGGGGAATGAGGAGGAGGGGTCAGAAGTACTCAGGAGGGAGGAAGATTAGCTGGGTCTCTAATGTCCCCCTTTCTGGGAAGGAGGATTGAACCTAAGATGATCCTTCGTGGGGAAACTTTCTTGAGTATCTGCTCAAAATGGGGCGAGTTAGCTATTCCTTCTATGCTGGAAAGCACCCAAGCTTCAAGTTGTGATGGGGATAGGGAGACAGCGCCACCTGGGGGTTGCCTAGAATGTGACCAGTGAACAGACACTAGGGGGTGCTCTATGGAGCACAGCCTTTCCTTTGATGCAGCCCACTCTACTTTTTTGGGGGTGGGGAGAGCGGCTTCCCAGGTGGCTCTAGTGGTAAAAAGCCTGCCTGCCGGTGCAAGAGACGTAAGAGACACAGGTTCAATCCCTGGGTCTGGAAGTTCCCCTGGAGAAGCAAATGGCAAATCACTCCAGTATTCTTGCCTGGAGAATCCCATGGACAGAGGAGCGTGGCAGGCTACAATCCATAGGGTCACAAAGAGTTGGACACGACTAAAGCAATTTAGCATGCATGTACTCTACTTTTTAAAAAATGATTTTTTAATTGTGACAAAAGACACATAGCAAGATTTGTCATCTTAACAGTTTTCAAGCATACAGTTTAGTAGTTATGTATATTCATACTATTGGGGAAGCAATCTCAGAACTTTTTCATCTTGCAAAACTGGAATTCCATTACCATTAACTAACAATTCCCCCTTTCTCCTTTTCCCATGGTCCCTGGTAACCACCATCTACTTCCTGTTTCTGTGAGTTTGACCCATTCCATTAAAAAAAATTAATTAGTGGCTAAGGTTATAAATTGGAATTTCTGATTTAAGAAAACTTCAAGCTTTTCTTGCAAAACCAACCATCTGGCTGATCATCAGGAAAGAGATGGCCAGATGGCACAGGATTTGAGGAAGTGAGAAGGAGACAGTGGGGGAAAGGGGCTTGGTGGCCACAACTCTGACCCCAGGGCCACAGTGTGGGAGGGAAAGGAAGGAATGATCTGGAGTAAGAGCAGAGAATGAAGGGGTCTGGGCATTTGTAACTGAACCGGAAACTGAAGAAATTGACAATGAATTAAAGGGTGGGATTGAACAAGGAAGATGGGAAGGTGGTTCATTTGATAAAAACTTCCTGAGCATCTAGTGTGTCCCTGGCTCTGGGCTGGGTGGCTGTGTGGACCCAACACTGACCAAGACAGGCTCCGGGCCCCCCTCACACAGCCTGGTCCCTACTCTTAATGAATTAGAGTGGTAAGCTAGAGTCGGAGAAGCTGGGGGTAGGCTGAAGGAGACCAGAGGGGGTTGCATGACTCAGCCTGGGATCAGGGAAGGCTTCCTGGAGGAGGAAAAGTCAGAACTGAAGTCAAAGAAAGGGCTGGGAGAGGAAGACAAGGCTGAGGATGGGTGGGGGGTTTCTGACAACAGCTCCAGTCTTCCATTTTATTGCCCCCCACCCCAGGATACCCCGGAAGCCGAGCTAGGGCCTGACTTCAGCCCCATGCGGCTCACCCGCTGCCAGGCTGCCCTGGCAGCCGCCATCACCCTCAACCTTCTGGTCCTGTTCTACGTCTCATGGCTGCATCACCAGCCCAGGAGCTCCCGGACCAGGGGCTCCCGCCGTGGATCCGCCTCTGGCCCCCGCGTCACCATCTTGGTGCGCGAGTTCGAGGCCTTTGACAACGCAGTACCGGAGCTGGTGGACTCTTTCCTGCAGCAAGAGCCTGCCCAGCCAGTGGTGGTGGTGGCCGATGCGCTCCCCTACCCGCCCCTGGCCCTGCCGCGCATCCCCAACGTTCGCCTGGCGCTGCTCCAGCCCGCCCTGGACCGACCTGCCGCAGCCTCCCGCCCGGAGACCTACGTGGCCACCGAGTACGTGGCCCTGGTGCCCGACGGGGCGAGGGCCGAGGCACCAGGCCAGCTGGAGCGCATGGTCGAGGTGCTCCGAGCAGGCGGCGCACGCCTGGTGGCCGCTCCAGTCGCTTCGGCCAACCCGGCCCGGTGCCTGGCCCTGAACGTCAGTCTGCGGGAGTGGACCGCCCGCTACGGCCCAGCACCCTCCGCACCGCGCTGCGACGCCCTGGACGGGGATGCCGTGGTGCTCCTGCGCGCCCGCGACCTCTTCAATCTTTCGGCGCCCTTGGCCCGGCCCGTGGGCACCGGCCTCTTCCTGCAGACCGCCCTCCGCGGTTGGACGGTGCAAATGCTGGACCTGCCCTTCGGCGCGGCACGCCAGCCTCCGCTGGCCACGGCCCATGCGCGCTGGAAGGCAGAGCGCGAGGGGCGCTCACGACGGGCGGCGCTGCTGCGGGCGCTGGGCATCCGCCTGGTGAGCTGGGAGGGTGGGCGGCTTGAATGGTTCGGATGCAACAAGGAGACCCCGCGCTGCTTCGGGACGGTGGTGGGCGACACGCCGGCCTACCTGTACGAGGAGCGCTGGACGCCCCCGTGCTGCCTGCGCGCGCTGCGCGAGACGGCCCGCTACGTGGTGGGCGTGCTGGAGGCGGCCGGCGTGCGCTACTGGCTGGAGGGCGGCTCGCTGCTGGGGGCGGCCCGCCACGGGGACATCATCCCGTGGGACTACGACGTGGACCTGGGCATCTACCTGGAGGACGTGGGCAACTGCGAGCAGCTGCGGGGCGCCGAGGCAGGCTCGGTGGTGGACGAGCGCGGCTTTGTGTGGGAGAAGGCGGTGGAGGGCGACTTCTTCCGCGTGCAGTACAGCGAGAGCAACCACCTGCACGTGGACCTGTGGCCCTTCTACCCCCGGAACGGGGTCATGACCAAGGACACGTGGCTGGACCACCGGCAGGATGTCGAGTTCCCCGAACACTTCCTGCAACCTCTGGTGCCCCTGCCCTTTGCCGGCTTCGTGGCGCAGGCGCCCAACAACTACCGCCGTTTCCTGGAGCTCAAGTTCGGCCCCGGGGTCATCGAGAACCCCGAATACCCCAACCCGGCGCTCCTGAGTTTGGGGGGAAGCAGTTGAAGCTGCCGCGCCTGCTCCTGGCGTGCGGAGAACATTCGGGCACAGGGCGCTGTCCTCTGCTTCGTGCAGCTGGCGTTCGGTGGGCGGGCCAGGGATGTGAAACCGCCCAGCCCCGGATGTCAAGGATGCGCCCTACCCAGGAGTTCCAGAACCGGGACTCCGGGGCTGGGACAGAGTTTTGGAAAGAGAAGAAGAGTGAGTGTAGGTTCTGGGGCCAGATGGTCTTGTTGCAATTTTTCTATGCCTCGGGTTTCCTTCTGTACTCCGAGCGAACCCTCTGGGTCTAGCGCAAAGCCCAGGGCACTTGGCTGTTGGGTTGCTCTCGCCACTAGAGGGCGCCCTTGTCCTTCCTTGGGGCCAAGGCGAGTGTACGCCCAGAACCTGTGTTCCACCGGCTTTCAGATCTCTTGAGCCTTTGGTCTTCTGTCTGGTCTCTTGCGCCTGACTGCACAGGATAACAAATCCAAATCCGCTCCCCACTACCCGCCCTCCCTTTTTTTTTTTCTCAGAAAATGACCTCCTTCCTGAGCGAGCCCGGGGCGGGGTGGGGGGGGGGGGCGGTGCATGCTGCTATTCACCCCATCTTGCAGAGAAGGAAGCAGGCTCAGAGCTCAGAGGTGCAGATATGGTTCTGGATCCCAGCCCCAGGCCCCTGAACTGTGTTACCTCATTATTTTAGCTCTCTGCACCTGTTCGCCCACTCGCAAGGCAGGGTGAACAGTCCTCATAGCTCACATTTACTGAGCACTTACTGTATATCAGGCTTTGTTCTCAGCATTTCACACGGAGTAACTGACTTACCCCTCACCTCCACCGTCTGAGGTGGGAGCTGCTATTATTTTGGTTTTACAGAGGAGGAAACTGATAAAGTCACTTGTCCAAGGTCAGACAGCTTGGGAAGTGTCAGAGTGGGGGACTTGAACCCAGGCTGTCAGTCTGGAGACTTCACTGCTGTTGTCCACATCGTCTTTGCGGATGTGGTACCCCAAGGTGGGGGCTTGGGGAAGCCAAACCACTTAGCAGGTGACGCGGTGGCAGCCTTCCTCTGGTGATCAGGCACCTTAGAGGAAATCCTTTTTGGCCATGTACCTCCAATATGTGTATTTATTGCTAAATTATATCCAGGCACTCCTGGCATTCTGTATATTAGTAATACAGCTCAAATTATTCCATTTTAAAATTAAAAAATAAATAGGGCTTTGTTGACCAGCCTTATCTCAGTGACATGTCCTGGACACCCCTTGGATATGTGCACTTGGCTTTGAGAGCACAGGCTCTGAAAAGGGGGAGGCCTGGGTTCAAATCCAAGGACTGCTGCTTGCTCCCACTATGAACTTGGGCCGCGAGGGACTCTGCTTCCCTACACCTCACTATGCACCTGAGAAATAGGTAACGGTGATCCTCGACCCACAGGAGTAAAGGGGTTGTGAGTCAAGACCAAGTGTGGCTCTTGTCTTTCTTTGTGACCTTAGGCAAGTCACTGCTTCTCTGAACGGGTGGAGGGATTGGTGATCTTGCAGAAGTGTGAAGCCCGTGGAGGAGAAAACTTCACCAGCAAGAGAAGATAAATGCCTCTTCGGCCCAATCTCCAGAGGCTCAGACATCCCAAGCCTGACTTCTTATAATGCAGCCTCTGTTTCTAACCACTGAACCTGCCAACTGCTGGCAATCTGTTGGGTTCCCAGGGAACATTCTGAAAGCTTATGGGGATGATTCAGGTTATCGATGCTGTTGGACAGTGTTCTTGGCTCTCTGCACAGTCCAGGGAAATGTCATATTCAGGGCACCTTCACACAATGAAGCAGGGGCCCTTGTCACATACTGTTTCAAAATGTCCCATCAGGCATTCATGAAGGACTGGTGATATTAAAAATATTTTGCAACTGGTATGGTAATATAAATATATAAATCAATATATGCATCACATTTTAAAAATATTTTTTAATTATAAAAATGATCAAAATTATCTATCCATACTTCTTGTTGCCAAGAACCTAACTTGAAGCTCAAATCACTTAAATGATTGTAATGTTTTGTTTCATTTAGAAATTGTTAGTGTGACTCCTTGATTGACACAGCTGTATATGCATATATACATAAAATATATGTACATATATATATTTAAAACAACCTTTTCTTAGCTGTGGTTCGAGAAGGGAACCACATCAGATGCTTCTAGCAACTTTCCATTAAATGAGAATCATTAGAAACTTGAGATCTCAGTAGATAAAGAATTTCTCTTAGACTCAAACGAGTGTGTTGTTGTTTTTTTTCCGAACTGTTTGCAGTTCCTGAACTAACAGCAATTACATTTGAGACTTTTCTAGCCCTTAAAATATTGTGTAATCACTTTGTTCAATATCTTTATTATCAACTAAATAATGAGATGACAGAAAACCCATCACAACTAACTTGAACTAATAAGTCTGTTACAATATGTCTTTTTGAATTGTACTGCTCTCTCAATTACTCTTATACTGTTCACCAGCCAGAACAGAAGCTTTTTCAATATTTTAACAACCAGCACTTCCACAGTAGCACAAATGAACGAAATTTTAGCCTTACTTGGAAAAACCTGGTTAAGAATTATCCAAGCCCAGAACTAGACTCTCCTTGGGCAAACAAAGTCCTTTTTGGACGGTTTTCCCTACTTCTGAATTTTCCAGGAAGTGCAACTACCATGTAAGATGAGGGAAGCTTGTATCAGGTTTTGTTCAAAGCTTGGCCACGGATTGTCAACAATATCAAAAAATCATGTTCCACCTGGTTCTCAGTAACTCAACACCTAAGCTGCGTGTTTGCAGCCGACTAGGGAGCCGCCCACTTTACAGGTGTAAATGTTTGGTTTCTCTCCGCTTCTGGGGAGGTGGCCCCACATATCTGCATATTGAAATACACATTATAAATTTTTATCCTTTTTTTTAAAGTTTTTATGTGCTTATTTTGGCTGCACTGGGTCTTCCTTGCGGTACACAGGCCTCTCTTATTGTGGAGCACAGGCTCTAGAGTGGTCGGGCTCAGTAATTGTGGGCTGGCCTAGAGTTAGTCACTTAGTTGTGTCTGACTCTTCACAACCCCATGGGCTGTAGCCTGCCAGGCTTCTCTGCCCATGGAATTCTCCAGGCAAGAAGCCAAAGTAGCCATTCCCTTTGCCAGGGGATCTTCCTCACCCAGGGATCGAACCCGTGTCTCTTGCATTGATTGCAAGCAGACTCTTTCCCGTCTGAGCCACCAGAGGGGGAGGGTGGCCTACCGCAATGTGGGATCTTAGTTCCCCAATCGGGGATCAAACCCATATCCCCTGCATTGGAAGGCAGATTCTTAACCACTTGACCACCAGGAAAGTCCCAAATTCCTATTCTTTTATTTCTCCTTTTTCTTACAGTTTGGGCAATATGGGATTATTTTGTGTGTGTGAAAGGATTTGTTTTTTTAATTTTTATTTCTTGTCCAAATATAGTTGATTTATAGTGTCGTGTTAATGACTGCTGTGCAGCAAAGTGATTCAGTTGCGCGCGCACACACACACACACACACACACACACACTCATGTCCATTATTGCTTATTGTAGGATACTGAATCTAGTTCTCTGTGTTGCGTAGCAGGACCTTGCTGCTTTTTGGAATCATTTTTAAGAACAGGTGTGAGTGGGTTACACTACCTATGAACCTCATTTCAGGAGAACCAAGAGGACTTTCCCAGAGCTGACATGCAAGTGAGCACAAGCACTGTGTGGCCATGCCTGTGGTTTAAACACAAAAGCATTAACTTACAGGTTATTAATTCATTGGTAAATGGTCCCTGCCAAGAGTCCCTCTTTTTTAATTTAACTTTTGTGGCCCTGTGCGGCATGGGGGATCTTATTTCCCAGACCAGAGATGGAACCCATGACTCCTGCAGTGGAAGTGCAGAGCCCCGACCACTGGACCACCAAGAGTCCCCTATTATCCTGGCTCTCCCGGGGGACCCCCTCCCTAGATCTCCCCCTGACCCAGCAGCCCAGGGCTCACACTAGGCACGGTGGGAGGAAAGGGGGTCCGTGTCTCAGTGTCTGCCAGATGGGCCAATGCATTTACTAAGTAGTGTCTCTTCTGTGTATCACCACTGGACATTACAGAATATTTGCTCTGAAAAGTGAATAGCACACAAAGACATGTTTACAAATGCACTTTTATGCATGGCAACTCCCAACTGAACACTATACAATGTCCTTGAACACATGAAATAAGATGTATACATCCATACAATTGAATAGTTCTCAGTGATTAAGGTGGACGGGGGGAGGAATGAACTACTGATACGTGTGAAAACATGACTAAATCTCTAAAGCATTATGCTGAGTCAAAGGAGCTGATGCAAAAAGCTCCATACTGTACAATTCTGCTACAGTGAAATTCTAGAAGAGACAAAAGGAATCCTTCGGGATCAAAAGTAGATCAGTGGTGGCTGGACCCCGGGGTGAAGGAAGGAAATAACTGTAAAGGAGCATGAGGAACTCTGGGGAGGCAGTGGGAATACTGTGTTTTGTGGTGGCGGTTTTTCACGAGTGTAAGTATCTGCCAAAACTCATCCTTCAACTCCCCTAGTGGTCCTGAAGTTAGGACTCCGAGCTTCCACTGCATGGAGCACGTGTTCGATCCTTGGTCAGGGAACTAAGATCCCACAATTCTCGAGGCAAAAAACAAACCTCCTCCCATTGTGTGCTTTGGTTGATGCAGTTTATTGTATGTAAGTTATACTCAATAATGTTGACCGCCCCCCCCCAGAAAGCAGAATTTGGCCATTACATATTCTTTATATGTACATGTATTTTCTACATAGATTGTATATGCAATTTATTACATATGTAGGTGTTTATCTCTTTAAACAGCCATCCCTCATAACCCAAATCTAATGCATTCCCCCAAAAGCATGAAATAGAAAATTGGAGAATAAATAACTATTTCAAGTGAGGAAAATAAGACACCTCTATCTCCACCCCAAAACCCCAAATGATTTCCTTAAATATCATTCAACACTCTTATCAAATACTTCTAAAACCACCCATTAAAGATTTTGGCAAAATAGAAAACATTGAAAACAATTTTTCAACTCAATGGACTCATTAGTGGCTATGTTTGTGCACAATACACAGTTTTGCACAGAATCAGATACGAATCTTTTTTATGTGTCACACAGCAATGATCAGGAGATGTAACTAAATAACTCTGCAGAAAGGTCAAAGTTAAAAGATAACATTTATAATTGGATCCATGTTGGTGGTGCCTCCAGGCACTGGCTTAAGTCTACACATCGACCCAGGGAGGGGAGGAGAATATCAGTCATGAGTAATATGCTTCAACAGCGCACAAGACAGGATCCTGTTAGAACAGGTGAGTCTTGATTGCTATCTTCCGCATCAGGGACTCAAATAGGACTGCCAACAGTTACACAGCAAGTGTTTTTATTCAAACAGCAAATTGGGATAAAAAAAAAAAAAAGAGCAGGCCATTATTTTAGGGTAATGAGATTTAAGATATCAAGAGATAGGGACTTCCCTGGCAGTCCAGTGGTTAAGACTTTGCCTTCCAATGCAGGGGATGTGGGTTCCATCCCTGGTTGGGGAGATAAGATCCCACATGCCTCAAGGGCCAAAAAACCAAAACAGAGGCAGTATTGTGACAAATTCAGCAAAGACTTTAAAAAAAAATAAAAAGATACCAAGAGGAAACTGCATTACTATGAAGGTGGTTACAGTGGGAAAGGAATTTACCACTGGTAGTACAAAACTTTTAACTAGAAGATAACGTACCAAGGGGAGATAATACCCACGTATTGTGTACCAGTTAATGTTTTTCCAACTGTTTACATCTGTGTAACCATCAGTCATATCAAGATACACATTTACTGTGTCATAGAAAGTTGCCCTCAACTTTTCTGGCGGTCCAGTGGTTAAAACTCTGAGCTTCCAAGGCAGGGGGCACAATTTCAACTCCTGGTTGGGAACTAAGATGGCACATGCCCTACAGCTTGTTTAAGAAGAAAGTTCCTTTCTGCCCTCTCCAAACCGACAGATCCTCATGTAAAAGTGCAAGTCACTCAGTCGTGTCCTCTTTGGTCATGCCCTACTCTTTGCGGGTCACAGTCCATACAATTCTCCAGGCCAGAATACTGGAGTGGGTAGCCTTTGCCTTTTCCAGGGGACCTTCCCAACCCAGGGATCAAATCCAGGTCTCCAGCACTGCAGGCAGATTCTTTACCAGTTGAGCCACAAAGGAAGCCCAAGAATACTGGAATGGATAGCCTATCCCTTCTCCAGCGGATCTTCCTGACCCAGGAATCAGTCACCACTGTTCTGAGTTCTCTCATTATAGACCAGTTTAGCTTGCTCTAGACTTTCATATGGGACTTCCCAGGTGGCATTAGTGGTAAAGAACCCACCTCAGGTTCGATCCCTCAAGAAAATCTCTGGAGGAGGGCATGGCAATCCACTCTAGTATTCTTGCCTGGAGAATCCTATGGACAGAAATGCCTGGTGGGCTATAGTCCATAGGGTCACACAGAGTCGGACATGACTGAAGCAACTTAGCATGTAGACCTTCATATAAATGGAATTATAAGGCACTATTTCAGGTTCCTTTCACTTAAAATGTTATTTGTGAGATGCATCGCATTGAGTGTATCTATCTATATATATATATATTGGCCCAGCAGCCTTCCATCAAATGATGATTGTACCCAGTAATCCAGTTGATGTTTCTAAGTTTTGGCAATTACAGAGAGCAACTCTAAACATCTGTGTACCAGTTTTTGAGTGAATAGGAGCTTTCTTTTCTCTTGGGTACATTCCCAGGACTGAGACTCACAAGCTCCCTGGTTAAGTAGATATTTTAACATATGCTTTGACATTAAAATACCCCGTTTTCGACAGCTCCTGTTAACCAGCCTCGAGGTTCTCGCGAGATCCGCCTCCTCAATACCAAGCGCCTGTGTCTGGCAGAGCCGGTGTGAGACGAAGAGACAATCCTTCCCAGCCGCTGGGATAATCAAAGAGTTTTGGCCGGACCTTCGAGCACACACCGAGATAGTGAGGAGCCAGAAGAAAAGCACAGACTATGGCGCCGAAACGGATTAATAAGGAACTTAGTGATTTGGCCCGTGACCCTCCAGCACAATGTTCTGCAGGTCCAGTTGGGGATGATATGTTTCATTGGCAAGCCACAATTATGGGACCTAATGACAGCCCATATCAAGGCGGTGTATTCTTTTTGAAAATTCATTTTCCTACAGACTACCCCTTCAAACCACCTAAGGTTGCATTTACAACAAGAATTTATCATCCAAATATTAACAGTAATGGCAGCATTTGTCTCGATATTCTAAGATCACAGTGGTCTCCTGCTTTAACTATTTCTAAAGTTCTTTTATCCATTTGTTCACTGCTATGTGATCCAAACCCAGATGACCCCCTAGTGCCAGAGATTGCACGGATCTATAAAACAGACAGAGATAAGTACAACAGAATATCTCGGGAATGGACTCAGAAGTATGCCATGTGATGCTACCTTAAAGTCAGAATAACCTGCATTATAGCTGGAATAAACTTTAAATTACTGTTCCTTTTTTGATTTTCTTATCTGGCTGCTCCCCTATCAGACCTCATCTTTTTTAATTTTATTTTTTGTTTACCTCGCTCCATTCATTCACATGCTCATCTGAGAAGACTTAAGTTCTTCCAGCTTTGGACAATAACTGCTTTTAGAAACTGTAAAGTAGTTACAAGAGAACAGTTGCCCAAGATTCAGAATTTAAAAAAAAAAATGGAGCATGTGTATTATGTGACCAATGTCTTCACTCTAACTTGGTTATGAGACTAAAACCATTCCTTACTGCTCTAACATGCTGAAGAATCATCTGAGAGGGAGGGAGATGGATGCTGAGTTGTCACATCAAAGGAAGCAGCATTATTCTAGCAGCATCCATTCTTGTCTAAGCCTTCCACTGTTAGAGATTTGAGGTTACATGATATACTTTATGCTCATAACTGATGTGGCTGGAGAATTGGTATTGAATTTATAGCATCAGCAGAACAGAAAATGTGATGTATTTTATGCATGTCAATAAAGGAATGACCTGTTCTTGTTCTACAGAGAATGGAAAAATAAATAAATAAATAAATAAAACACCCTGTTTTCATAATCACCCAGTGATTTTCCAAAATGACTAGACCATTGTGCATTCCTACCAGCAACAACATGGGCTCTATCCACTTCCACATCCCCATCGGCACTTGGTGGTGTTTTTGATTGCCGCCATGCCAATAAGCGTGAAGCAGTATCTCATGGTGGTTTCCAACGGTGTTTTTCGATAAGTAGATACCTCATTTCAATGAAGTCCTATTTATCATATATTTTCTGTTGTTTTCTGCATAGCTAGCATTTTTAGTCAAATTCTTACAAACATCTGATGAGATATAACTGACAATTTTATTGTTATAAACATCCTCAGAGTAACAGCAATGTGTTATCCATCTCCCTTCAGTGTTCCCAAGGAATGTTTGCTATTGTGGAGGGAACAGAGGGCCCAGGGACAGGGTGGGATGTACCGTGGAGTCACAGAGAACACACACACACACACACACACACACACACACACATGCAGCTACAGCCACCAAAATAACCAGCAAAGGAGCCAGCAACCTGTCAGAACACCCTTCCTCTCAGAGGACAGAATTTCCCATGATGCCCTGTGCCCTGAGACAGGAAGGTGAGGCAGGCTGCCAGGATGGGGTGTGGAGGCCACTGCTACTTCTCCGTCTCATATGGTTTCCTAGCCTTGGGTGGGGGCCAGGAGTTGAGGACTGGGCAGATTTGGAGACAGTCACACACACACACACACACTCATTCACACACAAACAACATACACCCCAGCAGCGAGGCCTTCCGGATCTGACGTCAGGGAAGGAACTGAGGCCCATGGCTCCCAAAGGTGTGGGCAGGGCCCTCCAAGAGTCTTGTCTGTCCGTTCACCCATCCCCCATGATTCCGATGTCCAAAGCGCCCCCCATCGCGGCAGGGAAGGTCTCTACGGGGATTCACATGACTGATTCCTTCTCACAGGTGTCAGCATCCCCAGCAGGTCCCGGGCAGCCTTTGAGGAGAGGGTCCCCCTCCTCACTGGGGACTGGCAGCACGGCCAGGGGCATCTCACTCTTCACCTGGATCAGCTCTGGCACGGAGCTGTGGTTCTCTGTGCGATCCACGTAACTCTGGAGGAGTCCCGCCCCAAAGGCGTCACCTTCCACGTTGAGGATGGTACAGGACCGGTCCCTGAAGGGGGAACAGTGACAGGGAAGTGAGTGGGAGGGGAGAGGTCAGGCCCCAGCCCTGCCCCCCCCCCAATCTTCGTAATCCCAAGTGCCCCATCATGCAGTTCTCTGCTTTAGAACCTCAAAGATCTCCATCCTCCCTGGATCCCCAGCGATCCTCCTTCCAGTAAAATACAAGATTCGCTCCTTTTGGAACCTCAAAAAGTCACCCTTCCCTTTCCTGGGGGCCCCAGAAAACCCCTCAATGCCTCTTTTTCCTTCTTCAGAAGGAAATACTACATTCTCCCTCAGGCCCCCTGAACTCCCTAGAACCCTAAGATCTTCTTCCTTCCTCTTTGTATACATTTTTGTGTGGGTGTGTATGCCATTTAAAAAAATTGAGATATAATTCAGATATAAAATTCACCCTTTAAAAGCATACAACTCAGTGGGTTTTAGTTTTTTTCAGAGTTAGGCAATCACCACTATTTAATTCCAGATTATTTTCATCACAGCAGAAAGAAACCCTTGTATCCATTAAGCAATTATTTCCCATTTCCTCCCACCCCGCAGCCCTAGGCAACCATTAATTTACTTTGTCTATAGATCTGTTTCTTCTGAACAGTTCATATAAATGGAATCATACACAATGTGGTCCTTTGTGTCTGGTTTCTTTCACTTAGCATAATATTTTCAAGGGTCATATGTTGCGTTTTTATCACTGCTTCATTGCATTGTATTGCTGGGTAATATTCCATTGTATGGACATATGACACTTTGCTTATCCATTTATCAACTGATCAGTATTCGGATTGTTTCCACCTGTTCACTATTATGAATGGTACTGCCATGAACAATCATATACAAATTTTTGTGGCCATGTTTTCAATTCTCCGGTTTAAACCTAGGAGTGGTATTGCTAAGATACAGGGTAACTCTCTAAGTTTTGAAACCAAATTGTCTTCCAGTCTTTTAGGCTCTTAATAGCTTCTTCATAATAGCTAACAATGATGTAGCACTTACTACTTACTATTCTAAGAAAGCTGCTTGTATTAAGTCATCTAATCCTTCAGGAGAAACTATTCTCATTTTACAGATGGAGAAACTGAGACACAAGGAGATTAAGTTTTTATGTGTAATCTTATGTGTAATAATCTTACACATCTTATGTCCAAGGTCATAATAGCTCGCAACAGCTGATCTGGGAGCCTGGTTGAAGAGTCTGTTCTATTAACTACCAGGGCACGCTACTTTTTTGGGGTTCCTGTTGGAACCCCAAAGATCCTTTCCTCCCCTCTGATTGGAACACTTCAGGTCCCTTCCCCTTTCCTCTAGAATTCCTTCTTTCCTCTCCTCTCCTTCTCAGAGGCTATCAATGACCCTCTTGCTCATTCCCTTCCCCACGAGTACCCCTGAGCAACCCCCGAAATCCCAAACCCACACTCACACTAGCCAGTCCACGGCCAAGATCAAAGAGATGTCGTGAACCGGCAGGTTGACCGCCTCGAGGATGATGGCCAGAGTGAGCACCCCTCCAGCTGGGATGCCCGCTGCGCCCACACTGGATGCTGTGGCCGTGACCCTGGGGGAGAAGGGAGGTCACGGCGAGGTCCCTCGGTAGTAGGAGAAGCTGCGGGGGTGCGGCTGCTCCGCCTAGGTTTTCTCTGTTGTCAAGGGAGGGGTCAGGTGGATCGGGGGTCCTCGCCACAGCCCCCCTCACACTCACAGGATAGTGATAATCTTCACGAAGTCCAAGGACCGGTGGTTGAGCTGTGCAATGAACACTGCAGCCACACACTGGAAGAGCGCGGCACCGTCCATATTGACAGTGGCACCGATGGGCAGAATGAAGCGGCTGATGTGTTTGGCCACTCCATTCTTCTCCTCCACACACTTCATCATCAGCGGCAGCGTGGCGGAGCTGCGAGGGACCACAGATCAGTCAGCAGCCCTCCCTGGGCCGGGCCAGCCGGGTCCCGCCCACTTCCCAGCCACGCCCCTGCCCAGCCCCTGGGTCCGGCCCCGCCCACAGTGCCTCAACTGGGCACAAGCTCCGCCCACCAGCTTTAGCCGCCCCACCCCCACCCCCCGCCGCTTCCCACATCCTCAGACCTCCCCCCACAGTTCTCAGCCCTCCTCAGCTCTCCATGCCCTTCTTTCCCCAGAGACAGAAGGCACTAGGGATCCCATAGAATGAAAGCACTCTGAAATATAGAGTCCAGGACCGCCAGGGAGAGTACCAACCACTACTCGCCAAATACACATAAAGACTCATACCTAAATTCTGAGTGCTTGCTGACTCACACCCCTTCCCTATCTACCTATAACAGACCTCGATTAAGCTGCTGTAGGGAGGGTTAGATTCCGAGGGGACAGGGCCAGCAGATGAACAAACTACCCAGGAGAGGTGGAAGGCGATTTTGAGAGGTTGGACCCAGGGTACTAGAGTCCCTCAAGGGCAGGCCTAGGGGCGGGGAGGGCTTCTCAGAAAGGGAGGAATAAATCTCCAAGACAGTAGTTTCTTAAGAAGAGGGGTTTTCCAGGACCTTATGAGAAACATACCCAAGTATGACTTCTGTTCCCAGATCCCATGTCCCACAAACAAAATTCCAGGGGTCTTTAGACATCAGATGCCCACTCCAGATCCCCTACTCTTAAAAGCCCTGCCCTGGTCCGCCCCAAGGTCACACCTGGAGGAGGTTCCGAAGGCGGTGGCCAGCGGCGTCATGATGCCCCACAGGAAGCGGTAGGGGTTCTTGCGGGCGAAGAGGAAGTAGATGAGGGGCAGTGTCAGGAGCCCGTGAATGGCATGCCCGAGCAGGCAGCACAGGATGTATTTGCCGAGACTGGCAAAGAGCAGCCCCACGTCCTCCATCTCCACGATCTTGCCGGCCACCAGGAACAAGATGCCCACAGGGGCATACCTAATTACCCAAGAGACAGATTGCCACCTCTGATCACGTGCTCACCCAGTGTCAGGTACTGTGCTGGGCACATCTCAGCCTTCCTCAGTCAGGAAGCGCCCACTGCATCGTGGACTGATGTTCGGACACCTCCCCTGTCATCTGCCACTCTCTCCCCTTGAACATGGTGCCACTGGGATGTAAAAGAAGTCTGGGTGGTTCCATCACCACTCCAGTAGAATCACCCACCAGATCTGCACTGAACACATGACCAGGAAAGAAACACCCACCATGCATACCATTTACATTTTCTGGGGTTTGTTACAGCAGCTGACATGACTTAAACCAATATACTGTCTCTCCCTGAAAAATAAGGATCCTGACTAATGTCTTAATGACAGCTCCCAGGTATGAAGCATTTATGATGCGCTGAGCCCTTAAAGAGGATGGAATCTTCACCACAACCCCATGAGGGAGCTTTTATTTTGAGACTCTTGCAGCTACCGTTGCATTAAACAAAATCAAATCAGTCTATAAAACAGGGACCCATAATGCTACCAACTTCACAAGGACTGTGGGAGGATTAAATGAGATGCCAGTTGAAATGAGTTGAAAGCTTTCTGTGACCAAATAAGTGAAGTCTAAAGACTTCAGCTAGGCTTCCCTGTTGCCTACCAATGCAGGAGATGCAGGTTCAATCCCTGGGTTGGGAAGATCCCCTGGAGGGGTAAATGGCAACCCACTCCAGTATTCTTGCCTGGGAAATGCCATGGGACAGAGGAGCCTGGAGGGCTATAGTTCATGGGGTCTCAAGACTTAGACACGACTTGGCAACTAAACAGTAACAACTAGACTTCAGCTGGGATTTTTTCTAACTCCTGGAGTGAAGATCCCAGGGGTTGCTCGTGCATCCCCGCCAGGAGGGCTCCCATCATCACCTCAACTGTCTGATCACTACGGCTAGTTGTTTCCAAACCCCTTTTCCTCTACCTTTTTTTTTTTTAACATGTATTTGGCTGTGTGGAGACTTAGTTGCAGCATGTGGGACCCAGTTCCCTGACCAGGGATGGAACCCAGGCCTCCTGCCTTGGAAGCGTGGAGTCTTAACCACTGGACCACTAGGGAGGTGCCCCCCTTTCTCCTCTTTAGTAACAGAAGAAAAGCACCATTTCTCAGCCACCTACGTACCATGGTTTGGCCAAATGCCCAAACTTTAGCCACTGGGATGCGCCCAGAAATTACACCATTACTTGACAAATATTAGCTAAGCTTATTTACTGTAGGCATGCTATGGGTCAGGCACTAACCCAAGAACTTTACATATATTAACTCACTCGTACCCGGTACTATCAATCCCATTTTCCACCTGGGGAAACTGAGGCATGGCAGGATAAGTAACATGTCATAGGGCACAGAGCTGGGAAGTGGCAGCACCAGGATAGGAACTAGGCTATCTAGCTTCAGAGCCTACTCTGACCCAACCACCAAGTGTTTCTACTGGGTTTCCCAGGTGGCTTAGAGGTAAAAAAATAAAAATTAAAAAAAAAAAAAAAAAAAAAAAGAACCGCCTGCCAGTGCAGGAGACACACAGGTTCCATCCCTGAGTCAGGAAGATCCCCTGGAGTAGGAAACGGCAACCCACTCCAGTATTCTTGCTTGGAAAAACTCCATGGACAGAGTTGCCTGGCAGGCAACTCCATGGGGTTGCAAGGAGTCGGACATGACTGAGTGACTAAACAACAAACTTTTTCTATTAGTTCCAACAGCAGCTTTGTAGATGTCAGCTACACTGGAATCAAGGTTGGGGTGGAAGATTTGGTAAAAACGCAGTAGCCCTAACCCACCTCCTGATTTCTCCTTTTTTGGCGATGCTGCATGGCATGTGGGATTCTTGTTCCCCAACCAGAAACTGAACCCTCACCAGCCCATTGGAAGCACAGAGTCAATCACTGGACCACCAGGGAAGTCCCCCGACTCTTGATTTCTGACCTTCTGATCTAGGATGGATGCTAAGAATCAATGTGATACCATGTGGAGACACGGCAGAGGGAGGTGGCAAGGGTGAAGCCAAAAGCCTCAGCATGTGTTTTTTCCCCTCATTATCTGAGGCCACTTAACAAAAGCTCATACATATTAATAATAATCATAGCTGACATTAAGTGAATGCTCAGTAGGTGCAAGATATTTACAACACTTTCTAAGTGCTTTACTTACGCCCCAGTCACTCATTTCATCTTCATGATAACCCTATAAAGCAGGCACTATTTTCGATCATTGATCCAAAGGCAAACATTTGATGACATTGAAATCAGGAAAACTGAGATGTTACCTTCCGGTGCCAGGTTGCACTAGTGGTAAAGAACCCGCCTGCCAATGCAGGAGACATAGGAGACTCAGGTTCAATCCCTGGCTTGGGAAGATCCCCTGGAGGAGGGCATGGGAATCCACTCCAGTATTCTTGCCTGGAGAATCCCCATGGATGGAGGATGCTGGTGGGCTGCAGTCCAAAGGGTTGCAAAGAGTTGGACATAACTGAAGTGACTTAGCAGTAGGATCAATAAGGTTCTGGGATCAGTCTTAGCTCTCATGGAATACAGCACTGTCGTCTCATAGATAAGGAAACCGAGGCACAGACAGAGTAAGTCACTTGTCCAAAGTCACACAGCCAGGGAACAGTCAATGCGAGACTTGAATCTAGACAATCTGGTTTGAAGGAACAGATGTCCCCACTCCCATCACTTACCACATGATCCAGGAGACCAGCACCATGGTGGCATCATTGAAGGAGTTGAAGAAGCGAATGAGCAGCTCTCCCTCGGGCCCCAACTTCCGCAGGGCCACGCCAAAGACGATGGCAAACACCACCAGGCCCAGAATGTTCATACCCTCAACCTCGCTCCCAGTGGGCACCTTTGGGCAAGAACAGATGGGGACGGGAGGGGCCATTCGGTCAACCTGCACAGGGACTGGGGGCCTGTCCTGAGCGCTGCTGGGACCCCAGCAGAGACAAGACCATTCGCCCGGCCCCTTCCTCCAAAGGCTCATAGTCCAGGTCCAGGGACCGCCCAGAGTGGGCAAGGGAGAACCCAGGGGAGTATGGGAACTGAGGAAGGCAGTGCTGCCAAGCTCGGAGGAGGGGAATCAAGGAGGACTTCCTGGAGGAGAGGGCTGAGACCTGGAGACTAGGGGTGAACAAGGTAAACCAGGGAAGGGGTAGAAGGTTCTAGAGAGGTAACAATATGCAACAACCTAGAAATGACTGTAATTCAGGCATTCAAAGAGAAAGAAATTCACTGTGGCTGGAGTAGAATGGGCCGGGCAGAGTCACAAGATGGGGCTGGGTGGGCGGATGGGCAGGGGTGGGACCTCACAGGGCCCTGTGGACTATGGCGAGGCGCCTGGGCTTTCTTCCAAGGGCACTCAGGGGCATGAGAGGGCTTTAGGGGGAAGAGAGGAGAGGTCAGTTTCGCGCTTTGGAAAGCCAAGCTGAAGGGGGGTGGGGTGGGGGGTGGGGGTGAGAATAACAGCCCAGATCAGAGCATGGATGTAGGGAGGAAGAAGGGCAAAATGGAGATTCCAGGAAGGCAGAAAAGACAGAAATTGGGGAGGGGCTTCAGAGAATTTAAAACAGACTGCACCCCAAATGCTAGAAGACCCAGAAGACAGGGGTAAGAACAAAATGAAAAAACCCACAACAATGGGCCAAGGTGCAGCCCCCCGCCCACCCCAACCCTTCCCACCTCTTACCTTCAACAGGGTGCCATTGAACCATCTCTCCTTATAGGAGGTACTGTACTGCAGGAGGGGTTGGGAAGAAAGAGTCAGGGTCAATTGTCATTGTCAGTTGTCATCAAGGCTCCCCCACCCCACCCTGTCTCTGTTAATACTCAAAGCCCGCCCCAGGCATCCCTTATAGTGATTTTGTTCCATCCCACCAGCAACCCCACTGCAGTAGGACCATTCATACCCCCATTTTCCAGAGGTGGAAATTGTGAAGCTCACAGAGGTAAAGATACTTGTTCAGGGTCGCCCAGCTAGAATTAGAACCCAGACGGGGCTCAGAACCCATATTCTCAGAGAGGCGTGGATGGGTTTCATTCATAGGTCACCCAGGAGCCCCTCACTGTGGCCTATAAATAGGTAGGCATGTGTGTTTTTCCAGGCGCCACCCAAAATCAGGCATCCAGTGTCTGCGACTGCCTGTTTCCCTCCCTGCCCACCCCCCCAACCCCAAGGGACACCCCCAAGGACTCACTGAGCGGAAGGCTGCAGACACCAGGTTGGAGGGGAAGATATTTCTGCAGAGAGAAACATGGGCAGGGTGCGGGGGGAGGGAGTATTAGATAAGGCAGGAGATCAGGGGGTATCAGGGTTACTGGGTTGGCTTCTTGGGGTGAAGGGAACCTTAGAGGCCCCATTTGTACCCAGACGTGGTACCCCAACCATGCCTCAGCCAGGCTCAGCCAGGCAGAGATGGATCTGGCCCTGAACATTTTTCCAGGGTGTGGGGAGTCTGAGCTAGACTCCTGGGGCCCCAGGAGACTAGTGTTCTAGCCCCAAGGGAGTGTTGATTGAGACTGATGAATGCCAGCTTCCCATGCTGGCTGGGGCAGGGTTACAGGGCTTGGGCTCCACCCCTGTAGCAGCCTCAATACCCTGGATATCTTGCATCAGCCACTTCCTCCTGCAGGCCTGAGGAAGGGCTGGCTGGTGGGTTACAGGGTGTGGGGAAGATCTGGGTGTGTTGGTGAGAAAGTGACAAGGATTGGCTGTGCTGTTGTGAAGGCATCTTTGTTTATGCGGCCACTCTTGTGTGAGGGTGTCTGGGTGTGATTAAGGGTACAGTGGCATGCACTAAACCCCATGGAGCATGTGAAGGAGTCAGAGAGCAGCCCCCCGTCTCTCAGGTTAAGACAAAAATAACAGCCAAGGCAACTATGGGCGTTGGACGAAGTGCTGTATATAAATCAACTCATTTCATCCTCCCAACAGCCCTTGGGGCGAGGCCCTATTATCCCCATTTGATAGGAAAGAAAACTGAGGCACTGACAGGTGAAGAAACTTGCAGAAGTGGCAGAGCTGGGATTTGAGCCCTGCTGGCTGGTTTCACAGTCCTAACCATTCGGTAGCCTCAAATCCTCCCTCTCACCAAAGCCATGGGTACGCAGCTGTTGCTGGTGGATGGTAAAGCTTGTCAGGCGCTGGTCTTCAGCTGGGGGCGGGGGGCACGGGTTAGTGTTTAGAGATGTGCGACCTGAAGGTGTATGTGAGTGTCTATGTGCTCTTGAGCTGTGTTTGGGCAGTGTTTCACATGTTGGTGTGATCGGCAGCATCAGTGAGTGGCTGTTTGTGCTGAAAAGGTGGCAGTGCCCAGCGTGTGTGACGGTATAAGCCCACGTGTCGGGGAGACGGCACAGCCGCGTGTCTGCATGCCTGTGTCCAGCTGTGTGTCAGCTGCTTATAAAGCTGGGCGGTTCTGAGATGTTCCAGGTCAGTTGTCGAGTGACTGGCCAAGTGCGTTACGTGGATCTGGCACAACCACAAAGCTTGTACACATACAAACAGCTTTCAGGGGGCTGTGCCTGTCTGCAGGTCAGCCTGTACTCACCCAGGCCAGCCAGGGCTGGGTCAGGACGCAGCTATCTGCCTGGGCCAGGAGGTGCCCACCCACGTTAACTTTTGGACACCAAGCCTTCCCCCAATATCAGCCTGCACTGATGTCAAGAGGCCAGGGGATAACCCTGTAACGTGACTCGTCATTTCCTTCCGCCACTTCCAGGAAGGCCCCAACCAACCTGGAGACACTGAATCAGCAGCCCTCAGAGGCAAGGCCGCGCGGACCCAGCCTGTCCGCCCTCCTTCAGAAGGGAGAAGAGCCATTCTTGAGGAGCCGGGAGCAAAAGCCAGAAGGAAAAGAATCTGCCCCTTCTCTGGACAGCCTAGTGCCAGCGGAGGGCGGCCAGGGACCAGGCAGAGCAGGAAATGGGGTGGAAAGGCTACCCAGCTGGCAGCACGCAGAGTCCAACACAGATGAACTGGGCGGGGAAGACAGGCTCAGAAAAGGACCTGGCTTTGTCTGGGTGACACATGGTGGGGGAACCACGTGGGAAGAGGGCCTGGTTGTGGGGGGGGGGTCCCTCCAATCTCCTCAAGTCCTTCAGGGCCCCCTGATGCAGGACTCCCCAAACTTCTATCCGGACAGGGGACTTAAATGTTTATCCAGAAATCTCATCCTGGGGCCCTCCAACACTCAAAGATTCCCTTCCAATATCCCCTCAGCATCCTCCCTCTTCACAGCAGAGACCATCTTAGGCCCCCCTCAACAACCCCGCCCCGCCACCCCAGACGCCAAGCATCACTCCTAAGACTTCCACGCCTATCACTCTCCTGTGGGGTCCCGTTTATGTATCCAAGCCCTCACATTTAGAAACCTCAGGAGTGCGTCCTCACCCTCCATACCCTGACCCTCCCCAGAGCCCCCCCAACTATCTCACCCCGTTTTCCCGAGGCCCTGGGGATGTCCCGGGCCCCCCACCCCAGGACCCCAAACCTCTCTTCCGTCCACGTGGCGACTCCCCTCCCCACCAGGCTGAAGCACCCCTACCCCCCACCCCTCCACCAGGTAGGGCGGGGTCTGACCTCACAAGATCCAGGAACGAATCGAGCACCTCCTTGCTGGGGGTCTCTTCCACCGGGCCCCTGGCTCCGACCGAGGTGTTGATGGCGGCGAAGGCGGCGCCCGGCTGCAGCGCGAGCGCCAAGCCCACGCCGAGCGCCGACGCTAGCAGTGTGGTGACAAGGAAAAAGAGCAGCGCCCAGGCGCCCAGGCGGCCGAGCGCGCTCGGATCCAGGCTGGCGGCGCCGCCGATCAGGCTGCACACCACCAGCGGCAAGATGATCATCTTTAACAGGCGCAGCAGCAGCTCTCCCGGAAAGGAGAAGGCTTCCAGGCGCGCGGGGCCCAGGGCGAGCGCGCCGCCGGCTCCCGAGACCCCCAGCCCCAGCGCCACACCGGCCACCACGGCCACCACCGTCAGCAGCACAAGCAAGTTGGCGCGAAGGCAGCGACGCACCTGACCCCAGGAACCGCAAGGGCCGCCTTTTACCGAGCCTGCGTCCTCTATGGGGACCAACGTCGAGACACCGTTGGCGGTGGGCTCCGCCGCCGCGTAACCTTTGGGGTCTCCCTTAGGCGGATCGGCCACCATGATGAACGCCGCTGGTTCCTTAGCGCCTGCAAGCTGGGAGCGTTTGGGGTTCCTTCCCAGGACGCTGACGTTCCTTAGAACTTTAACAGAGTCCGGAGGCTAGAACTTTCAAGAATTCTTTGCAGGTGTGAGTTCACAGCGCTCAAGTTCCTTGGCTCTTATAAACTGAAATGTTTGAGAGAACCTTGGCTGGGCGCTGCGGTTCCTCTGGTTTCGGTCTGTGCCCGGCGCTGAAAGAAGGGAGGTGGGAGCCCTGGCGTTCTTGACAGTAGGGTTTAGGAACACGGGAGTTTCTCGAAATGGGACCCTGGGGTCCTCGGCTCCGGAAGGGTTGAAGACGCCCGAGCGGCGGAGGTCTTCAAGAGGCTAGGTCCTGGTGGCTCAGATCCGGGACGCTTGGATCCGGGAGGCGGGAACCTGGAGGTTGGCGGGGTCCTGGAAACAGGGCTGGGGAGTCTGAGTCTGGGAGCCCGAAGACGGAGCTCCGGGAAGAGAGGGGGCCAGATCCTTGAGTCCAAGAGGGAAGATTCGACCCCGCGGTGCCGAAGGCGGCGGCCCGAGACCCCGGGAGTAAACAGCGGCTAGCTTCACCAGACCTCCCAGGCGCGCCGCGTGGCTCTGAGCGGCTCTGGCGGAAGCTGGCGGGACTGAGAGTCCCGGGGCGAGGCCTGAGAGAGCGGGGAGGACCAGCGCGCCGCTGCCGATTGGCTCTCCCGCTCAAGGGGCAGGACTTGGAACAGGGGTGGGGCCAAGTCACCTCAAGGGAAGGCGAAATAACCGAGTTTGTATTCAGGGGCGGGGTCCGGGTGGGGCGTGGGGGGCCTGCAGGGGCGGGGCGTTGGCAGGAGGTTTGTTTTTCCCGCCAATGGCTAGGATTGGGGGCTTTAAACCACAAAAATCCCTGGAGCCAAATCCTCTAGAAAGTGCCAGGTAATCTGTGGGGCATTTATCGCGTAAATCTGTTTAGCTCCTTCTGCCCTAAATACCGGTCTTTTGTTCCTCGTTGTCAATTCCTCGATGTCAAAGTAAAATACAGATCCCTCACGTGATTGGTGTAAGATTTAAATAAGATGGAGTAATTGAATGATGTTAATCATTTTCAGAATAAAGGTTCTCAGTTCAGAGCCCCACACGTGTCGATTAATGGCAGTTATTAAGATTGTAATCCACTTCCCCCTAGGTAGGTAATTTGCAATTATCTATTTAAATGGTAATTCAGTTTAAGGCTTTTGCTCTCACCAAATAGTTTCCTCTAATTTTCAAGCATACAAAAAAGTTTAGAGGATTTTACAGTGAACATCCATATAGCCTAGACCTAGAGTCTAGAGTTATTTCACCATACTTTTATATCGAAGTATTTCTATCCATTTATCTTTCTCTAGCCATCTAACCATTCACCTTCTTTGGATACATGTCAAAGTAAGTTGCAAATATCAGCACCCTTTTTCTCTAAACAATTCAGTATGCATTTATTAATCAGAGTTCAATTTGTACGCAGTCTTCTTTATTTTATTTTTTAATTTTTGGGCCGCTGACTGGCTTGTGGGATCTTAGTTCCCTGACTAGGGCTTGAACCCACATTTTGGGCAATGAAAGTGCTGAATCCTAACCACTAGACCACCAGTGAATTCCCTGTACACAGTCCTTTTTCACAAAATGCACAAACCATCAGTGATGCCTACTGGTTTTTGACAAATGCATATGCCTGATTTCACTGGAATCTCCATAACTGCTTGGTGAAGTTGGGTCCACTAATATACCCATTCTCCAGATGGGCAAAACTGGGCCTTATGGCCAGAGGAAGTCACTCACCTTGAAGCCACATCCGAAGGGAGCTGGGAGTTGCACGCCTGCCTCTCAAGACCCTAACCTTAAAGGGAATCAGTTATGATCTCCTACTTCTCCTGGCCATGTTGAAATCCTACTTCCTTCCCACCTGGACTGCTCTCTGATAACATATCAGGTGTTCACACTTGTAAAGAGTATTGATAGTGATCATCTCAGAGGCTTCCTTCTGAAGCAACTGTGAGGCCTTAGGCAAGTCACCACCTCTATAAGCCTGTTTTCACTTATAATCTATAAAATGGGGAGAATAATAGTAGCTCAGACCTCCTTGGGTACTGAAGATCAAATGAGACCCTATATTCAAAGTATTTATATGGGGTACAGGTTAACTCCTAATAAAGTTAACTATGACTACGCTTATTGTTGTCACTATCTTTCTAAAATGTTTGTCGCTGCTGTTCAGCCACTCACTCGTGTCCGACTCTTTGCAACCCCATGGACTGCAGCACGCCAGGCTTCCCTGCCCTTCACTATCTCCTGGAGTTCGCTCAAACTCATGTCCATTGTGTCGGTGATGCCATCCAACCATCTCATCCTCTGTTACTCTCTTCTCCTGTCCTCAACAGCATCAGGGTCTTTTCCAACGAGTCGGCTCTTTGCATCAGCCGGCCAGAGTATTGGAGCTTCAGCTTCAGTATCAGTCCTTCCAGTGAATATTCAGGGTTGATTTCCTTTAGGATTGACCACTTTGATCTCCTTGTTGTCCAAGGGACTTTCAGGAGTCTTCTCCAGCACCACAGTTTGAAAGCATAGATTCTTTGGCACTCAGCCTTCTTTATGGTCCAACTCTCACATCTGTACATGACTACTGGAAAAGCCATAACTTTGACTGTTTGCCATCACTTTGTTGGCAAAGTAATGTCTCTGCTTTTCAATACACTGTCAACATTTGTCGTAGCTTTTCTTCCCAGAAGCAAGAAATAAATAAATATTATTATTTTATTAAAATATTTTAGTATTTATGTTATTTATTTGGCTGCACCAGGTCTTAGTTGTGGCATACGGGGATCTTCCTTGTGGCATATGGGATCCTAGTTCCCTGATCGGGATTTGAACTTGGGCCCCTTGCGTTGAGAATGCAGAGTCTTAGCCACTGGACCACCAAGGAAGACCCTAATGTTGTTATTGTCATTATTACTGAAGAACATGGTTTGGGAGTCCCCAACCAGCTCCAGATGGTGTTGGCCCCTGGTGGTGAGTTATTCCTCCTGGTCACTTGGTCTCAGCCAGCCCTAGCCCTCGACCTGCCTGGACAGGAGCTTTGAGAGCTTATGATGACATCTGGCAGGAACTGAAGGGGCCAAACCGAGCCAAGAATTTGCCCAGGACCTGAAGAGCCCACCACCCAGGCACAAGTGGCCATATGGACCTCCTTCCTGGGTCTCTTGGATGCTCTCCCTCCCAAATTCTCCCGGATTCCACGCCTTCTACCTCAGAAAGCCCCCGTCCCTCACCCCACCCTCTGAATCTAAAGTTATATACATTTAACACTCACATTAAACTCCCACATGCTCGGCTCTCTGCTAGATGCAGAGCGTGGGCACTACAGCCACATAGACTGGTTCGAATCCTGGCTCCACCACTTATCAGCTAAGCATCAGTTTCCTCATTTGTCCTAGAGTCACTGTGAGTGTAAATTTGATGATGTACACAGAGACCCCTGACGCAAAACACGAGGGGACAGTTCCTCAGCACCCTGCTCATTCCACAAATACTCCTCGGGCCATTACTAGGGGCCAAGTGCCGTTCAAGGGGCTGGGGATTCCACAGTAAGGAAAAAATCAAAAATAAAGCCCAAGAAATATAGTCATTATCTTTTTTTTTTGGCCATGCTATGTGGCTTGCAAGATCTTAGTTCCCCAACCAGAGGTTGAATCCGGGCCCTGGCAGTGAAACATGAGTCCTAACCATTGGACCACCAGGGAATTCCTTCAATATCTTACAATAACCTATAATGGAAAAAGAAAACTATATATATATATATACACATCTGAATCATATACATATATATCTGAATCACTGTTGCATATCGGAAACTAACACAACATGGTAAATCAACCATTCTTTAATAAAAACTTTTAAAAGAAAATTAAAAAATAATAACTCATATAAAACTCCTCGCTAGCATTCCAGCGAGGGGAGATGAGGAAATGAACTTGGGCTGTCAGGTGGGAATAAGAGCTGGAGAAAGAGAAACCGTTCAAAAAAAAAAAAAAAGAAACCGTTCATTGCCCAGCAGAGACAGACAAAACTGTACATGACGGACCACACCGAGGAGGTGCCATTTGCCAGGAGATCTGAATGACAAGAAGAAGCCCACTGGGACAATCTGGGAAGAACTCTCTCTTTTTAAAATATTTATTTAATTAATTGATTTGGCTGCCCTGGGTCTTAGCTTCCACACCTGGAATTTTTGATCTTCACTGTGGCCTGTGGAAACTTTTCGTTATGGGAAGCAGGATCTTTGAGTCACAACATGCAGCATCTTTAGTTGCGGCATGCAGGCTCTTGTGGCACGTGGGATCTAGTTCCCTGAGCAGGGATGGAACCCGGTCCAAACCTCTAAGGCAGCAGGAGGGGTTTCTGCCCCTGTGTGGATTCTATCAAAGGTTTTCAGATCTTCACTAATCTTTGAGATCAATCCTGTTTTAGTGACTTGTAAGCAGACTGGGTAATGAGGTTTGTTGTGGCCCCACCCCTACCTGGGCAGGGGATTTGAACTCAGGGGTCCTCAACCCTTATCTGATGCCCCAGCTATCCTACAGTTGGTCCTCACCCCAAGCAGAGCTATTTCCTTCAAGGGACCATCATTTATTCTGATCACAAGCCCTCCTGACCCACTGAGAAGCACCAATAGAATGAGACAGATGGGGAACTGGGTGGAGAGCAGGTTTCAATACCAAATCAGGGGGTCAAGAAATATTGCTAAGGAAATAAAGGTAAGATACAGGAGAAGTATATAAGGCAGGGCACCATACCATCTGTGGGGGAAAAAAAAACAATTAATCTATATAACAAAGAAGTATATTTGTATACATAAATAAAATGTATATAGGGACTTCCTTGGTGGTCCAGTGGTTAAGAATCTGTAAGAATCTGTGCTTCCACTGCAGGGGGCTCGAGTTCAGTCCTGTTAGGTAGATGGGAAATAAGAT